CAGGGCCCCCACGCCTGCTCCCGCCCATACGCGTCCCGCAGATCCCGACAGGGACCGTCACGACGGCACCTTCGGGACTGCAGGGGGGAGGGGACCTGGGAAACCATCCCTGGGCTCAGTCCCCCCCTTCTAGGTCTTTCTACATCTCCCGATACTGCCTTCTTGATAACCCCGTCCCCTCCCCAACCAGGCTCTCCCCTGGATGTTTCTGGACAGATGAAGGGAAGACAGAAACGGGCCCCAGAGAGGGTCCGTGGGTAGGAGACTAGCCCGGGACCGACAGCCCTGGGTTTTCCTCTCAGCCTTGCCATCAGCCCCCTAAGTGCCTTTCCTCTCTGAGCCTCAGTTTCCTCTCTGAGCCTGTTTCCCAAAGTCTATCACAGAAGAGCGGGACTGGCTGGTGCGGTTTTGCAGCGGGCGCTACAGCAGCCGTGAGCCCTTCCTACAACTCCTCCCTCTGGGGAGCGTCCTGCTCCTGTGGGTGACAGTGCCGTCCCCTCCTGCAGGACACAGCCTGCTGCCGGGAAGCACCTCTGTCAGGGGCGGAGACGCTGGAGCTGGCCGGACAGCAGGGCCCGGCACGTGTACATAGGTTAAGAGGAGGAGAGCGATCCAGGAAGGGCGCAGCCAGGGGTCTGTGTTGGTCCCTGGGCAGACCCTCCCCTTGGGGGCCTCCAAGGTCCCCCATCAGGAATGGAGGTGACACCGCCTCTTTCTTGGTACCGGTTCTGTTCTAAACCTTTGTACGACGCCACGTCCTTTACCCTCACGACCACACGGTCCAGTCAATGCCATCACTGTCCCCTTTTACAGATGACAGACTGAGGCCCAGATGGGTTCAGCCCCTTGCCCAGAGTCCTACAGCTAAGCAGAGCCACGGTCTGCAGGGCCAGGCTCTTTACACTAATGCTCTACTGGCCTTCGGAGCTGAGCTGCAGAGCCACCGGGGGTTGTGGGCCGTGGGCCCGGGCCGTCTGCGAGGCTCTCGGGGCTGACCCGAGGTACGGTGCAGGGGACAGGGTGTGTGGCCCCAGGGAGCAGAGCCAGGTTTCCCGACAGGCACGAGGGAGGGGTCACCAGTGGTGTGTGAGTGGAGGCTGGGGTGACCCTGGCTGGGGTGGGGGGGCAGTGCTGGAGAGGGGATTCGGACTCCGTGCTTTCTGGCCCTAAGGGTCGAGAGCTCAGCAATACGTCACCAATGTCCTGTGGGCCCAGTGTGGCATGTGCTTTGCGTGCAGGGTGTCCCTTCCCCCCTTCCTTTGTAAGACCCCCATGGGGCTCTAAGGCTGCAGTGGGAGACACCCTCTCACCAGCCACCCTCTGCCCCCCAGGAGTCCAGGAGCCCACCTGGACACAGTCTCCGAGCGTACCTTTCAGGCTGACAGAGAGGTTGATGTCGAACGTGTAGGGCCGGTCGTGGCGGAGATACGGCAGGGGCTTAGGGTCCTGTGAGGGCAGAGCAGAGCACAGAGGGCTGCTGGTTGAGGGGCTGCGCTGGCCCAGGCGGGGCCCCCAGCAGACCAGCTCCCCAGGCACAGGGGGTCTGACGTAGGACTGTCCCTGGACGGCAGGGACACCGGTGGTCACATGTGCCGGGCTCTGGGCAACGCAGCCGAGGGGGGAACATCCGCAGGTCAAAGGTGCAGGGGTCAGATCAGGGATGCCCCAGAAGGCCAGGGAGTGGGGGGGGGGGGGGGGCCAGAGATGGGGAACAAGACACGGCCGGCGGGGGAGGCTGGGGCAGCGGCGGCCGAGAGGGGCGCCCCGTCGGTGCAGGATGCGGGTGGAGGCCGCCGAGGGCCAGGCCACAGGTCCGCACATCAGCCCAGCACGGTATTTTCCTGAAGCGCGACACACGAGATAATCTGGGATGATTTTAATGGTTATGTGTTGTTTTTTTTTTTTTTTTTTATGATGAACTCGGTGGCTGGTGACACCAGTAGGACACAGAGAAAAAGAAAAAATCTAGAACAAAAACGCTACACCCGTCTTGTCTAAATACATTTGAGTTTAAAACCGGGAGCTGCTTTACAGGAAAACATCCAAGAAACAGCAGGCGGGAGTAGCCAGAGTTATGAAGACCCTGCGAAGGTGTTTGCGCAGGGGGAGCCCGAGATGTCACGTGACTGGGAGGCACGGGAGGGGTGTGGCCCGGCGGGCAGTCGGGGGTCCCGCCAGGGAAGGGGGCAGGCGTCGGGGGCTCACCCAGGTGGGGAGAGCCAGTCTCAGAGAGGAAAAATGGTGGATGGGGCGAATCCCCATCGCGAGGAATCTGCTCACGGAGAAAGACGCCAAGCTTGCTTTTAGCACAGCAGACGTGAGCGCGGGGGGTGGGGGACAGGGTGGGTGCAAGAGCCCCAGCAGCGGGAGGCCGGGGGTCAGTGATGGGGGACCGGCAAAGGGCCGTGTGCACCTGAGCATCGCAGGCCTTGGGGAGACGTGGGAGTCGGCGGGGGGAGAGGCCTGGGTAAGAGTAGGGGCCGCTGGAGAGGTCACAGGGCGTTCCTGCGGGCTGCTGGCAGAGGTGGGGTGGGGGCCTGCGAAGTGAGCCCCCTGTTGCCGGGCTCCAGGCTGCATCCCATCGGGGGGGCTCCAGGGGGCGCCGTCCCACAGAACAGAACTCTGCGACCCGGGGAGTTGTGCGAGGTGGGGGCCCCGGCCAGGACCCCTTCTTCTGCCAGCTGGCCGGTCCCCCCACCCCAGAGGATTCTGAAGGCCACACAAGAACTGTGCGGGGGGGGCAGGGAAAGCACAGGCAGAAGGGTCACACGCGGGCAGGCTGGGGGCACAGAGCTTCCCTCCGGGGTCTCGATGCCGGGTGCGCCCGTGGCCTCGGGTGGAGGGGCCTGGCTCTGGAGCCGCTGCAGAGGTGAGCTCACCTGCTCCGGGTTGGGCACGGCAAAGGGCAGGAGGGCGTCCATGGGCACCACCCACGGAGAGATGGTCGTGCCGAAACTCTTCCCCAGAAACGGCCCAAGGGGGACGTACTCCCACTTCTGGATGTCTCGAGCTGCGAGAGAAGGGCCGAGCCGGGCTCACAGAGGCTGCCGGGGCCTCACGGCGAGCTTCCCTCCTCCACGGTGCACGGGCCCCAGCCAGGCTGCCCACGGCCGGGGACAGCAGTATTCGGTGCCCGGGTCACTGTGCCGAGTCACAGCAAGAGGCAGGCTGACCCAAGGGCGGGTGGACCGTCCCCCCACGCCGAAGGGGCTAGAAACTCGTCATCCACGTGGGAGGCAGACGCTTCTGGGGTCTCTGGCACACAGCCCAGGGGCTGAGAGCGGCTGGATGCTGGGCTGCTTCGGTTCAAAATCTCAGCCCGACCTCCTCGCCCGCGGCATGGGAATAACCGTGTCACCAGCACCCTGCAGGGATTCGGCACGGGGCCCGGCCCGTAAGTGCTCACAAGGGTTAGCCAAGAGGTCAGCCTTGTTCCTGCTGAACTCACAAGAAAACGATCAGAGGGGGGAGGTACCTGCCCAAGGGCTCAGAGCTGAAAAGTCTGCGTGGAACCCAGGCCACACCCCCCTCCCCTGACCTGCACCAGACCTGGGAACCATCAGGCCCGGTGACCGCCTCCCTGACATCTAGTCTTCACCCAGGGCGGAGTGCTCCCCAGAGCAGAGTGCTCGCAGGGGGCCCGGCCTCGGGACGCCCACCCCCGTGATTACCGCTCCAGTCGTTCATGAGGACCATCCCGAAAATGTGCTCGTGGGCCCTGGAGATGGGGATCGGCTCTCCCAAGTTGTTCCCGGGACCTACGAAGAAAGCCTGCGAAGAAAGAAGGCGGTTAGCATCGGCCCCCTGCTGCCCCTCACTTGCCTGGAGGCAAAGGTCAGGTATTTCCACAAACCCACCCCTGCTGGAACAGAGACAGAGGCCTCCAGGCCCGCCCTGCCCCGCCCCTCCCTCAGCACCCCTGCACACACCCCACGTGCTGCGATCTGACAGCTGTGTGAGGCTGCGGAAGAGACACTTCTGGGTGGGCACTCACGTCAAGAAAAGTCCAAGACCTGCCTCCATAATGCAGCCAAGGAGAGAGCCAGATGGGGTACCCCCACCCATGCCCCCCCCACCAGAGAACAGCATCACCAAGAACGTGTGCAGGAACCAGCTGGATACCGAGACGGGGGAACGGCCGTCAAAAGCACACGGAATCAGCTACGACATTCGTAAAACCTGACCCACAGCTTTATTTGTTCTGTGTGTCTAAACGTTGCAACTTCTTTTATCAAGATTTAGGACAAAAAAAAAAAAACCACCAAGGGCACCAATTTGTATAGAACCTGATCCCCATCGAGTGGAGGAATTCTGTGGCCCCCCCCCCCGCCCCCAACCATCTTTCCATACACTGGTTCCTTTCCTCTCGTCCGCCTGGGGTCTACCCCCAACGTGGGGCCCATCTGCCTGCAGGGAGCCCTGTGCCGGTGCCTCAGGCCGGCAGACCCCCTCTTGGGGTCCACGTGGCGCCCCCTTGCAGGAGGCACAGGGCTGGCTGGGAAGGCCTTGCTGGGACTGGGGGCTCTTTGCAAGCGGACACACATTCCTTCCTCTGGACGGAACCCCAAGAAATCACAGAGCAGGACTAGAGAGATGGGGGCTCCAGCCTGCCCCCACCTTACCAGGGGGCCCCCAACCCTTTCTCCTCCACCTGCTATGAGGAGACACTCAGCCCTCCCAGAGGCCTCACCTAAAACCACCATGGGGAGCCCCCGCCATCTGCCCGTGCACCCCCATCACGGGGTGGGGTGGGGGGGAAGGGGGCGGGGCCTGGCTCCACGACCCGCTGGCCTAACACACTGCCCTGCAGCCAGAGTCCTCCTCCAGCCTGGCATCTCCTGCCTGTCCCCTCACCTCGGGGACTTCCAAGTTCCTCATCCCTGTCAAACGCACAGCCCTGCAGCGCGAGGGAACCCAGAGTCAATGTCCGTGTCCTGGGGGTGATGCTGTGGGATGGCCACGCGGGGGACAGCGTGTGCAGGGGGTCGGGGTCTCCCTATATAACTGCTCACAACTGCACGTCACTCTACAATCACCTCAAGATAAAGAGTTTAAGGTAAAAAAAAAATGTGCAGCCCTGAAGTCACCCCAGTTCTGAGATCACACGGGCCTGGACACAACCTCAGGGGAGCTGAGAGGTATAGTTGATTCTTGCTACGCATGGGGTTTATATTCTTTTTGTATTAATTTCTGTTTTAGATTTGTTTATTTACTGAGAGAGAGAGAGAGAGAGAGAGAGAGAGAGAGAGAGAGAAAGCAGGGGAGAGGCAGAGAGGGGGAGAGAGCATCCCAAGCAGGCTCCACACTGTCAGCGCAGGGCCCGCTGCGGGGCTCAATCTCCCCACCCGAGAGATCACGACCTGGGCCGAAGCCGAGTCTGATGCTCCGCAGCCTGAGCCTCCAGGTGCCCCGTGCAGTGATCACATCCACGAAGTCCGCACTCACACTGCATGAGCAGGTGCAGACCCACCGCTCCCACGGAAAATGCCGGGCCTCCGGTCACACTCACACCAACCGGTCCGTATCTCACCTTGCCTTGCGTGTGTTTCTGTTTGAGGTGACCCCATCGAACGTCTCCCGCTGACTCACTAACACGAGTGCTGAGCGCCCGCACATGCTGTCTCTGTGCTCACTGACGCGAGCACTGCACCCGAGGAGGGTTTTAAACAGCGAAAGCACCCCAAAAAAGCACAAAGATGCAAAACAACGTGGCCTTACATGGTGAGAACGCCACCCGCGTACAGCAGGAGCTGAGCAGAAGGCAGAGCGTGGCCCCGTCCAGCCCCCGCAGGGAACACACCATGGGGCCTCGAACTCCTTCCCGCTCCGCGTGGGTCCCAAGTGACCCCTGCGGGCCCCGCGAGTACTGGTTTGGAAGTTACCAGTTCGCTTTTAGAAAGTAGGGGAGCTCGCAGACACAGAGCTTGTGGAGGGTGGAGGGCCCTCCCCGGGAGCACTCCCGCCCCAACGCCGGGCACAGGCCGCGCCCAGGAAGCACCCCGCTCACCATCTCCAGCTCCATGTCCAGGAGCTTGCAGGGGCCAAAGACGGGGGGCTTAGCTGCAAGACACCAGAAGAGACGGGCTGTTGTACGTGCTGGGCCACGGGACCCGCCGTGTGGGGACACAGAGCGGGGACCCGTGAGGGTCACTTACCGTCGTCGGGCCTCATCTGCCCCGTGGGCCTTCGGATCGGCGTGCCTGACACCACGACGGAGGAAGCACGGCCGTGGTAACCCACTGGCAAGTGCAGCCTGCGGAAGACGGCGGAAGGAGGTTACCGTGACACGCGGTCAAGGTCACTTCTACAGTTTGCAAGCTAAAAACAAAAAGCAGTCGAAACCCGCGGGGCGCCTGGGTGGCTCAGTGGGTTCGGCATCTGACGCCTGGTTTAGGCTCAGGTCATGATCTCACGGCTCTTGAGTCCAGGCTGCGCAATGGGCTCTGTGCTGACAGCAGGGAGCCTGCTTGGGATTCTCTCCCTCTCCCTCTCCCTCTGCCCCTCCCCTGCTCACTCGCGGTCTCAGAATAAATAAGCTTAAAAAACAAAACTCAAAAGGAATTGCTAAGTGTCCGTACCACGAACACTGCTCAGCATTAACATGGGAGGAAACAGGGCTCCCGGGGGCTCAGTCGGTTAAGCGTCCAACTCTTGATTTCAGCTCAAGCCCGGATCCCAGGGTCATGGGAGCAAGCCCCACATCGGGCTCCACTCGGAGTGTGGAGCCTACTTAAGATTCTCTCCCTCTGTCTCTCTCTCTCTGCCCCTCTCTGCTCTCACACACATGCACTCTCTCCAAAATAAAAATTTTGTAAAAACAATACACGTGTCTGACTTTATAAAAATGTCGAAGCGCTGTACTGACAAAGCACAGGAGAAAGACGCCACGTCGGGAGAAAACACAGCGCACGACACGGCGAAGGGCTAATTTCTATGAAACGTGAAACATTCTTCCAAATTAACGAAAGAGCAGTGACCGCCCGGAAAAGCCGGCGGGGGGAGTGCAGGAATGTCTGCGAAAGACTGTGGAAGACGGAGCGGAGCAGCGTGCTGCCCCGGGAGAAGGGGGTCAGGGGTGGGGCCTGGGCCGATCACAAGACACACGTGCGTCCTGTGTAATGAAGGACGCGCACACGCGGCAACAGGAGGCCCAGGGCCCCCTCGCGCCACACATCGACAGGCCGGCCTGCTCTCCCCTGCGGCGGCAGTGGCCCGTGGCTCCCGCCAGTCTCCCCTCCCTGCGCACCTGCAGTCCCAGACTCACCGCCTTGCCCCGCGACCCTGGCCTTGCTGCTTAACCTCTCTGGGTCGTTAACCTGCTGTCTCTTTCCTTCTTCCTTCCTCACCTTGATTCTGACACACGTTGCCCTCCCTGCCTGCTGGCCCAGGGTGCGTGCCTGCCACTGTGTCTTCAGTCAGCGCCACCTCCGGAGGACAGCACAGAACAAAGGGGCAAGGATCTCAGCTCTGGGTTCCCCGTGGGGCGTGGCCTTGACCTGGGGGGTTGCAGCCGCCCGCTGGTCCCCTCGGGGCTTCTCCGAGCCTGTGCTCCCTCCCGTGCCCGCGGGCTGGCCGTCAGAGCCTCGGGGATCCCACGAGCACCTGTGTGACTCTCGCCGTGGGCCGACCACACTTGAGAGACACTCCCACGCGGCGGGGTCCCGGGTGCAGAGGCCAGGCCTCGAGTGTGCCCACGGAACCAGCGCCGGCCAAGAGGCACGGAAGGACCTCACACGCTTGGAGTCAGAACTCCCATCTGTGCTCCCCGCACCAAGGGGCCTGGGGCACTGACTTCCGATCCGCAGGCGCGGCGGGGCCCTCCCGTCTCTCCGCCCTGAGAGGGGCGCGTTAGCTCCAGGGAGAACGCGCTTCTCGCACTCGGGCCCGACGTACCAGTTTGGCATGAGCGCGTTCTCGCCGCCCCGGAACATGATCCCCACGTTGGTGGCGTGCTGGCGGGAGGAGTAGAAGTCCGTGTAGCCACCTGCGGGGGAGACACAGTGGGCACCAGTGGTGGCCAGATGCCCGGGACAGGGAGGGGCCTCTCCCGCGTCCCCGCCCCGTGGGTGCTCCCCAGCAGCTCAGTCAGGGCACATCCAAGCCTCATGCACAATTTGTTTCCAGAACTGCCCTCGGAGAAACAAATAAGGAACAAGGAGCCGAGACCGTCGGGCGCAGACAACGGACACCCCTCCGGTGAAGGGGGACAGACTTCCAGCGTCACCGCCCCCAGCCCAGGACTCCGCTCACTGGCCTTCGCTTGACCTGGGCCTGCTGCTGGCACAGCCCCTCCCCTCCCCTGGTCTGCGTCCGAATCCCGGCAACATTTTGAGGCCCCTCCCCCCACTCTCCCCTGGGGGATCACTCCCTCCTCTGGAGGAAGAAGAGGAGGAGGAAGAATGAGACAGAAGAGGAGGAGGAGCACAGGGAAGGGAGGAGATGGTGATGGAGGAGGAAAGGGAGGTGGGGGAGGGGGAAGGGAGGATGAGGGAGGAGGGAGAGGGAGGAGGGGGAGGGAGGAGAGGAGGCGGAGGGGGAAGGGTGATGAGGGAGAGGAGGAGATACGAGAGGGAAGTAGGAGGGGGAGGAAGGAGGAGGAGGGGAGGAGGGAAGAGGAGGAGGGGAGGAGGGGAGGAGGAAGGGAGAGGGGAAGAGGAAATCGTGTCTGTATTTACTTTAGAATACAGCGTTGCATTTTGCAGTAAGACCCCACCTCCCCAGGAGGAGCCCAGCACAGAGCCCACACCACCCATTAAAAACACTAATTTTATAGTCTCCGCCTCTTGTGTGTTTTCAGCACGTCTGTGTAAGTCCCTATCACCATCACTTAAAAGGGGCTGGAAAGGGAGGTGTCAGCGGGGCTGTGATGCGTGGGACAGAGGAGGCGCCCACCCCGGAGGCTCCTGCAGCAAGTTTCGGGGGCCACGCGGTTCTCAACTGGACAGTTACGAATCGTTGGGATGTGCCTGGGGGCTCAGTCGGTTAGGCGTCCGACTTCGGCTCAGGTCGTGATCTCATGGTTCGCGGGCTCGAGCCCCGCGTCGGGCTCTGTGCTGACGGCTCGGAGCCTGGAACCTGCTTCCGATTCTGTGTCTCCCTCTCTCTCTCTCTGCCCCTCCCCAACTTGTGCTGTTTCTCTATGTCTCTCAAAAAATAACTAAATGTAAAAATAAACAAGCAAACAAACACAAGGGCAAGCACAGCAGAAACAGGGAGGAAATGCCGGTCGCAGCGCACACACAGGGCTTGCGTGCGGTGCGACTGCATCCCCACGGAACCTGTAAGAAAGGCTGGAGACGGGCGGACTGCAGACTGGACGGAGGGGGAGGGGGCTGCGCCAGGGCACACGTGGACTGAACCCTCCAGACTGCGACCTTACAGGCCGGGTGGGGGGGGGGGGTGCGGGCCGTGTGCACCATGTGTGTGCATCATGCCTCTGATTAGCTGCTCAGAGCAAGAGCCCAGGGAAAGGATAGAGCAGCAGCAGGAAGGAGGTGGGACCCGGTCCCAGAGCCGTGGCTGAGCAGGTGGGGGGTTCTCCCCACGTGTGGACTCTGACCTGAGCTCCGTGCCCTGCACACTTCAGCTGTTTTGAACCCTCAACCCCCCGGGTGGGGGTGAGTCCCGACCCACTGTGCGTCTGTCTTTTGGAAGGACGTCCTCCACCAGGAAGGCTTCCGGAGGCCACAGAAACGATCGAGGCAGACGCGGTGTTCCGGAAGCCTCCGGGCACACAGATGCCCAGGCAATCCCGGCAGGCCGGCCGCCCGGGGCTGGGAGGCGAGGGTGGAGACCTCCCTGTGCTTCAGCTGAGAGAGTCTGCCCCACTCCTGCTGTCTGATTGAAACTGGGGCACTCTGCAGCCACACTCCCTGCCAGGGGCTCAAACTGGCCCGCTCCAGGGCCCTGGACTCACAGGTGAGGTGGGAGCACTTTCCACAGCCTCAGGGACGGACGGGGTGACGTGCCGGGGTGGGAGCCTGTGGGCAACTGTAAATCCCAGCAGCCAGTGCCCGCCCAGCCAGGGCTCCGGCCTCCATCCCGGCCTGCGTCCGTGACCCCTCCCCCACCACGCAACAGCGGCCAGGGCACCAGCCAGCCACCGTGGGCCACAGAGCCGCTCCGGGTGCGGGGACCCCACTCACCTATGGCGGCTGGCAGGTGCATCGCAGCAGAAGCCTGGGCCGTGAACGCCCTGCAGTACAGAACCGGGGGCTTCAGGGCCGGGTAAGCACGGAGGGGGTCCCTGCTCTGGCCGCCCAAACCAGCACTGGAACCCAGCTCACAGTCTCCAGCTAGCACCCCCCAGGCTGGCCCGGGGCCACGCTGGGCAGGCCCTCCACTCCAAAGCCAAGGGGCCTCTTCATGGCTCCCGTTTTCCCCTCCAGAAAACAGGCTAAATCACCCCTTCTCTGGAAGGCAGACAGACAAGGCCACGGAAGGTGCTGAGGGGAGATGGCTGAGGGAGGGAGGGGGCAGCTCCCGAGCTGGCCGGGACCCTCTAGTCCGGACACAGGGGTCATCCCGGTCGGCCCAGAGCCCTGCCACCCTGACCCGCAGCCCAGGCAGGGGCTGGGGGAGGCTGCCTCAGAACGGCCCCGGCCGCCACACCGTCCCCTCCTCCCCACCCGCCAGCGTCCGAGTGTCCCTCACCGTCTCCGAAGGTCCGTGTCGTCTCGGAGCCTGGCACAGCTTGTGGACAGCAGATTCCGCAAGGACTCTCTCGCCTCCTTCCAGGCGGTCTGGCCGAGGCCCATGAAGCTATTGAGAGCCGGCTATGCCAGAGCAGAGAGAGGAGGTCACACGGGGACAGCCGGGGCCCACGGCCACCTCCAGCATCCTCAGGCCCGGGGCCTTGTTCTCAGCTCTGCCGGCGGCCCTTCCAGCCCGGGCGAGCGTCACCTCCCCCGACGGGGCGTCATGCCCCCGCGGGTTTGCACACGGGCCACAAAGCCTGGGAGCTGCTATCTGGGGGGGCTGCCCGGTCAGCACCGCCTGTGGGAACAGTCCACACGGACCCTCCACTCGCGTCCTGAGGGGGTTTCTCAGCCAGGGAGGCACCGTGCAACCTAAGGGCTGGGATGCTGTAGCCAGGTGACGAGGGAGAATCGTGCCTCACGCAGAGGAGACCCCCACCCATCTAATGGGGATCCGGTTCCGTGCACTGGGCCGTCGTGAGGACCGGACGGGGCTGTGGGCGGAGCACACGCTCAACACACAGCATCCTCCTTCCTGACCCAGAACGGGGGGTGCACATCAGGGCCCGGACCACCTACAGGGACGTAAAGTCACGTCCATCCCACGGGTACGTGCACTCCGGGGGCCGCACAGAAGGCGTCTGTCCATTCCAGCCGTCCGTTCCTCCCTGGCGACGTCTCCAGACCCAGAGGGTCAGCACCGGCCACGGACAGGCAGAGGCTCACACGGTTACCGGGAGCCCCAGCCCAGAGACGCCTGTGACAGGCCCAGCACCGCGGTCCCAGCACTCTCTACACCGAGGCGCTGACCAGAGCCGTCCCCGGCACCTCCGAAAGCACGATCTCTTCCCCGAAACGGAAGGGAAAGAGATTCTCCTGGTGGCGTTTTCACAAATGCCCTGAAATCCTGGACAAGCCGTGTCCCAGCGTCCTACCTGATCAAAGACATCCTGGTGCTTGGAGAGGACAGGCCCAGTGAAGAGGTGCTTAATGACACTGAGGTCCAGGATCTGGTCGCCAATGGCCACGCCGATCCTCGGTCTCGGCTGGGAGGGAGACGGCATGGTCAGCGCCGGGGAAAGCCTCGGCCAGATGCGCTGCTTTACCCGAAAAATCTGTCCAGTTAAGAGCACGCGGGTCCCCCTCCGGATGGGACGGAGCACTGGATCCTACCACGGCACCCAACCCCCTCCGTGTCCCAGGGGACTGAGGTTGCCCCGAGATCTCGGCCCAGGCAGCATCTGGAATCCTCTCTCCTTACAGGACAAGGAAAGCATCCTGTTCACTGAATGGGACATAAATCAAACACCCTGGGAGTGGGAAGGAGCAGGCGGCCTAGTCCAAGTCTCATCGAGACCAAGTCTCCAGCTAAGTTCCTCAGGCACTGGGTAAATGCCTCTGGTGAGGAGGACTCACCACCTCACCCGGCAGCTGGGTTATCCCCCAGGATTAACCTCAACCTGCCCTCGGGGATTTTCGTTGCGCAGCAGAGCAGAGAGCACCCCGTGCGCAGGGCTGAGGCCCGGGGGCTTGGATGACGAGCCCCGTTATGGCTCAGACAGGGATTCATTCAGGCGAAAACATTTATGAAGCCTCTCCTCCACACCAGCAGGACACTAAGGCTGTCAAAGCATGGGGGACAGAGGCGGGACTGGTGCCAGCTGTCCAGAAGCAAAGGCGGCACAGGGATCAGTGACATAATAGGTGTGGCTGGAGGGCAGCAGGGGGCTCCTCGGGTGAGACAGAAGAAACAATACGTGCTAAGGTCCTGAGGCAGAAAAATGCTCTTAGAATGTTCCAGAAACCAAAAAGCAGCCGGTGTGGCTGGAGAGAGCAGAGGCACAGCCGGACTGCAGGGACTTTAACAACCTGGCCATCGGCTCCAGACTACCTGGGTGCCCACATCCCAAAAGCCACTATCCCTGTCTTGACAGAGAGAGCCTCTTCCGATTCACCAATCCACAAGCACCTTGCCATGGGAGGTGTCTGGTATGCCTTTGATTCCCAACCCCCAGCCCAGCATCTGGCCCGGAGTTGGGGTTCTGAAGCATTTACCGTATATAAGAACGAACAAAACGTGACTGGATTAATTCACTGCTCTTCGGCCCGAATCTCGAAGAGCTGGCCGCTGGCGTGTGCCTTGGCAATCACGCCAGCCTGGCGAGGCCGGCATGACCCTTGGAATGTGCAACGTGGGCAGAGATGGCTTCAGACCGGGCCTGTTCCCACTCGAACGCCCTGAACCTTCTAGAATGCCAGAGGGACAGTGCTCTTTCCAGAGGGCCATGGGAAGGGGCTCTGTCTCCCGGGCGTCCTTAGGGGCTGTCCCTGCACATTCTAATGTGCCAGCAGCAAGGGCCTGGGGTTCAAGGGACATGAATTCTAGAGCCCTCCAGGAAGGCAAGTCAAAGCACCTGTCTTGCCTCTGGCAAGTGTCTCTAACTGTTCTGTACTCCCAGGAAAGGCAAGGGCGCATGCGGAGGGCAAAGTGTCAGCGCTGTGCGGAGAGCAGAGCGTGGCTGGCTAACACGGGTCAAGGTTTAACCTGCCTCACCGTATTCGGGTCCCTCCAGGGGACCAAGTGTTAACTTTGTGTTCTTGCGACATTTAGTCAGGCCTGGCTCTTGTGAAACCACACTGGCTCTTGAGGACCGGCCTGCTGCAGGCAGGGCCACAGGAGGGTGGCCCCTGGGGGTCAAAGATCAGCTGTGGGGGAAGGGGCGGACCGCCAGCGGCTGCATTTTGCAATCATTTCTTGAACACTGGTGGGGGCAAGCAGACTCGGGGGTCTACGGTTTACAGAGCGAATCAGGAGCTGACCTTTAAGGTTGGGAGCGGAAATGCGAGCCACAAATACCATGAATAAATCCAAGGGAACCTGCTTTCCCCCACCCAGGGACCTTAAATATTTGCTGATGAACGCCCAGTTTTCAAAGATTTCTTTCTGCCGGTCAGACTACACTTACTAAGCGAAAGCTCCTGTCTCCAAAAGGCTTCTTCTGACCAGCTGGGGAACGCCGGCGAGGCCACCCCACAGCCCAAAGACTTCCAGCTGGAGGCAAAGTCCCCCAACATCCCAGATCCCAAAGGCCACGGGCCAGCTCACCCTCTAGCGCCCGGTTAACCTGCGGGGGGAGCTAGGGCCCTAACGCGGTGCCCTGGGGGCAGGAAACAAACCCCAGGAACTCTGGAGGAAGCAGGATGACCCCTCGGTAACAACAATCGAACTTGATCTGCTGGCCTGGGAACGACAGTCCTATGTTCTGTTTCAATTCGCATTTAATCCTCACACAAATCTGCAGAAACCGCGGCCGCCAGGTCCAACAACGCGCACATCTAGAAAGTGGGGTTCGGACCCACATACCCTCGGCACCACTGCTCCTCAAGAGACAGCCCAAAAGCCTCCGCCCCCCCCCCCCCCCCCCCCCCCCCCCCGCCTCTATCTCACTTCTCCTACACCAGTGACCCGGGAGCCTCCGCGGGGCGCGCTCAGCAGGGGAACCGCGGGCCCCAGTGACCCCGGGGAGGGGGAGGGCTCCGCGGAGCGCGTCCAGAAGAGGACGACTGGCCGGCGTCCCGCCTGGTCGGCGCTGCGGGCCACTGGTGCCGGGGGGTTGGGGCGCGGGTCCCGGCGGAGTAGGCACCCTCCGGCCCCCGCCCGGAAGCCAAGTGCAGCAGCTCACGTTGTCTGGGGTGGAAAAGACGCCGTAGGGCAGGTTTTGGATGGGGAAGTCAGAATCCTCGGCCACAGGGACGAAAGACATGCTGGCCAGCAGGGAGCAGGGCGGCGAGCTGCACTCGGCTGGGTCCGGCCGGATCGCGCCCCTCGTGGCTCAGCGCATGACCCCACGGCTCCGTCCCTGGCTCCGCCCCCGCGGCCCCACCCCTGGCTCCACCCCCAACCGTCCGAGGCTCGCCCCCGACGCTCCGCCCCCATCGTTCCACCCCGCCTCCGCCTCCGAGGCTCCTACTGCACCGTCTGAGACTCAGCTCCGCGGCCCCACCCCCACACCACCCCCCAGTTCCGCCCCCGTTGCTCCACTCCCGGCCCCGCTCCTGGCTCCGCCCTCAGGCCTACCCCCACCCAGGCTCCGCCCCTTGCCCCCTGCCCCCAGCCCGAGAGGTCAGGGAGAAGCCGCGGAGACCCGCAGCGCGCTCTTCCGCCCCTCCGTCCCCGCCCCGGCTCCCGCCCTCCCCAGCCCCGCCCCTCCGCAGAGCCCCGCCCCCGGAGACTTGGGTCCCTGCCCAGAGACCCCCAGCCCTACGTCCCCCCCGGACCCCCCCGAAGGGCCCGCGGGCTCGGGGAGTCCGGCCAGAGCCCTGTGACCCGTCGGCGGTGACACGTCCACCCTGTGGACCACAGGGTCAGGCGCGCCTCCCCAAGACTCACAACGACGAGAACTACGTCTAAGAGCGCAGCTCACCTGCACACTTCACGTTCCGACTTTCAGACGCCGTGACCAGCCGTCTGACCTCGGGCAAGTTACTCAGACTCGTCTGCCAGGGCCGCGTGGACGCCCGCCGCCCCCGCCCGTGCAGGGCTCTGCGGGGTGAGGGCCCGTGCGCGCTCGTGCCCGGCGCACAGGGACCCCGCGCGCACGCGCTGGAGAGAGCGCGCAGAGAGGGGGACGGAGTGGGGGTGCACCGGGACCCCTCCAGTGCAGGCGGCAGCGCACAGCTGAGTGCAGGGAGACTTGAGGCCCGCCTCTGGCTCTGTTCAGCCTGCAGCAGGTTCAACTGTGGCCTCAGTTGGCTCATCTGCAAAACAGGGGTAAGAATCATGCCTCCTCCGACATTTCCATGGCAGTCAGGGGATGCCTGGCACACACGTGGTGATCAACCCGGTATTTTCCCACCCAGCCGGACCGTCAGCATTCCTCGGTTAGTGAGTTCTGCTTCCCTTTATGAAGGAGACAAACAAAAAAGGAGGGAACACAACTATAAAAGCGGTCATCACTGATTAAAAATAAGTTTATAATATAGATGCAAATTTCTTAGAAACCTGTGGCTCAGTGGGTTGAGGGACTGAGTTCAGCTCAGGACATGATGGGGGGGGGCCGGAACCTGCTTCGAATTCTGGGTCTCTCTCTCTCTCTCTGCCCCTCCCTCACTTGTGCACGAGCACCTGTGCGCTCTCTCAAAAATAAATGAACTTTAAAAAAAGTTAAACTTATGAAAGCATAGGCTGCGCAACACTTATCAATACAGAAACCAATACTGGAGACACAGACTTTGGGTTGATTTGCTTTGGAATTCTTAGAGTGGAAAGCTAATGAATTAATACGAAAAAGACACATGGACCCCTATGTTTACGGCATTATTTACAACAGCCAAGATGCAGAACCGATCCAAGTGTCCATCCACAGATGAATGGATAAAGACGTGGTGCGCACACACACACACACACACACACACACACACACACACAATGTGCAATATCAGCCATACAAAAGAATGAGATCCTGCCCTTTACGAGCACACGGAGGGACCTAGAGGGCATTACGCTAAGCGAAGTGAGTCAGACAGAGACAGACAAACGCTATATGATTTCACGTGCGTGGCATCTAAAAAGCCTAACAAAACCAAACAGAAGCAGACTCGTAAACACAGAGCACAAACCCGTGGCCCGAGAGGGGGGTGAGATGGGAGATGAGATCACATAGAGAGAGGGGACGAAGAGGTAAAAACTTCCAGTTACACAGTGAAGAAGTCACGGGGATGAAAAAGTACACCGCGCGGAACATAGCCAATGATATTGGAGTAACTTCATACGGTGACAGATGGCGATGCCACTTACCTTGGTGAGCACTTCACAATGTATTTATATGCGGTGTTGAGTCACTAGGTTGTGCGTCCGAAACTAGTGCGGTATGTCAACTACAATTAAAAATTCATTTTAGAAAATTAACAAGTTTGAGGTCTTAGAAATTTAGAAAATTAACAAGGTCTAAGGTACAGCATGGTGGTTACAGCTAATAACACTGCTCTCATCCACTTGACTGTTGCTAGGATAGACCTCAGGCGTCCTCACCATAAAGAACTCGGTAGCGATGTGGCCAGATGGATGGGGTAGCTAAACGCTATGGTGGTAATCATTTTGCAACTTACTACCGTATCAGTCACCACATTTAACTCCTTGAAGGGACCCAATGTTGTGTGTCCATTATTGGGGGGAAATGTTAACGAATTAATGGCTACACAGGTACAGCTGACTGAAAATACACTTGAAAACAAATTTAGGCCAAAATCCTAGAAATTACTCGTGGAGAACATTGAAAGGTTGCAGAACCAGGGGCCCCCGGGTGGCTCAGTCGGTTAAGCGTCTGACTCTTGATCTCAGCTCAGGTCTTGATCTGAGGGTTGTGAGTTCAAGCCCTGCATTGGGTGCCACGTGGAGCCTACTTTAAAAAAAAAAAAAAAGGCTGGGGCACCTGGGTGGCTCAGTCCGTTGGGCATCTGACTTCAGCTCAGGTCATGATCTCGAGGTTCGTGAGTTGGAGCCCCGCTTCCGGCTCTGTGCCGACAGCTTGGAGCCTGGAGCCTGCTTCCGTTTCTGTGTCTCCCTCTCTCTCTCTCTCTGCCCCTCCCATGCTCATGCTCTGTCTCTTGATAATAGATAAACGTTAAAAAAAAGTTGTAGATCCATCCCAAGGTTTGTAAAAATAGCCCTTTTCCTTCAAAAACATTTTTTAAAGTTTTTATTTTTCTTTATTTTGAGAGAGACAGAGAGAGAGGCAGAAAGAGAGAACAAGAGAGAATCCCAAACAGGCTCCGTGCTGTCAGCATAGAGCCCAACATGGGGCTAGAACTCACGAGCCCTGAGGTCATGACCTGAGCCGAAACCAAGCATAGATGCCTAACCGACTGAGCCACCTAAGTGTCCCTGCAAAACATTTTTAAATGAATAATAATGACAAACAGGCAGAAAGGCCGGTAAAGAAGTCGCTACCCCTCTGCCTGCAGGGTCTCGGCCAGCTTCTCCTCTGGTCTGCTGTGCTCCTCCCTGGATCAGCCTCTGATCTTCATGGTTCAAAGCCCACGTCTGTCCACAGCCAGTCCCGCGTCGCATCCTCCCGGCCCCCCTGCCGGGTCATCACCTCTTAAGACAGCTCTGCCTTTCCAACAAGGTCTGTGGTAAAGTGTGGACCAAATAATATGCAGTTAGGACAGAGTATTAAAACCGTGAGTGACTGATGGAAGCAAAGAGGAGGAGCGGGTGGGGGAGGGGGAGGAGGGGGAGGGGAGGGGAGAGGAACAGAAGAAGAGGAAGGCAGAAGGCAGAGTGTGTTAGGGCGGATTCAGGGGGGTGTCTGCTGTAACCACTCAAGGGACACAGCTGATAGGGGCTGTGATCCAGCAGTGGGGGTGATGTCACAAGGCGTCCTCGGCGCTCCCTGGGGAATGGCGCAGTGAGCGCAGAGCCAGGGAGGCTGTCCTGCTCTCGGAGGGTGGGGATCCCGGGACAGGAGGGTCCGAAGCAGACGAGGCCCCGAGGTGTCAGGGGCTCGGCCTTGCCCGGCCTTCTGGCTGTCACCCCCAGGTAGGTTCCAGGGAGGGGAAAGGAAGGGACAGTTCCAGCTGGGTTCTGGGCCCTGGCCGGTTCCGGGGTGCTGGGGCTGCAGGGCAGGGCGCCGCGTGCCCGGGCTGGCCCTGCGCTCTGTCCGCAGGACCGGACTTTCGTGCTGTGCGCAGCCCTGTCCACACCCAGCCCGACGGCGGGCTCAGAATCGGTGTTCCGTAACACGGAAGTAAGTGCTTACTGTAAAGCGTCCGCGGAAGGCGATTCGATACCCGACGAGCCCCACACCTGCCGGGCCTGGGGGGCCCTGGCAGCTCAGTACCTTCTCTCCACACACACACACACACACACACACACACACACACACACACACACGCACACAGGCTGACGGAGGCCTACACGGTAGAGCCATGAGAAGAGACAACCCCAGACCTTTGGGGGAAGGGCGTGGGGCAGAGGTGTGTGTGGGAAGGGGCGAAGGCATGAGAGCCATGACGGGGGGGGGGAGGGGGGGGAGGTTTCCTGTTTTAAAATAGACTCGCCAACCCACTAATTATGTCTCGCGCCTCCAGAGGCCAAAGCGGCTCTCCGTTCGAAAGAAACCATTCGAAGTAACTTGCAGATTCCCTGTATTTTCTTTCCTCTCTCCCTCTCGAGGAGGAGGGCGTGCTGATGAGCACGGACGGACGTTCCAAGGACCACAGACAAGAATCGGGAGGAGGGACCGCCGCCCCAGTCCTCACACGCCCTTGCGGTCTGCTCGTGCCATTTGCACGTCCGTCCCTTTTCCATCTTTGTGAGCTTCAAACAGAAGCCGAGTTTTCCCTCTTTCCCTGTGTGTTTCCCCGGAGCGCTTCTCCGCGTGGCCAGAGAGGTTCCCTCGCTATCATCTGAGTGGCCGAGGCGGTTCCCTTCTCCAGCACCACTGTCGGAGGGGGACCCCGGGCCGGAGGGTGTGGACGCCAGCTTCAGCCCCTCCACGGCCGGGGCCCGCGTGAGCCTCTGTGGCGCCAAACTCGGGGCCTCCCTCGGAGGCGAGCCACCCCGCCGGCCTCCGCACACAGGAGGCCTCTCCCCCGTGTGGTTTGCGAGAGCGGCGGGAAGGGGCTTGAATCTGGTGGGGCTGCCGGCTGCCCGATGGGCAGGAGGCGGACGCTGCCCCCACCGGGATGACACCGGGTGGGGGGCGTCTCCGCAGCACGCAGGAGTCCCATCCGGATCCTTCCACCCACCCTGCAAATGTCACTGCGCCTTGAATTGCTGGAGTCAGGTTCCCAAGGTGCCTTGGATGGGGAGCTCCTTTGAGGGGACAATGTCACTCGGGTTGGCACAGGACATACGCTCCTCTGAGGACAGAACGTAGAGGCACGCGCCAAGCACAAGGTGTCCTCCCTACAAGGTGGGTGAGAAACTTTGGACCCGAGCCTTCAGGAGAGGAGGCCCTTGCTCCATCCAAGAGCGTGGCCGTTATCACAGCCCCCTCTCCTCTCGGGTCCCCGGCGGGCGGGCGCAGAGCCAGGTGACCCAGCCCAGCCGGCGCTGGGTGGGGGTGGGGTTGTGCCGCCCCAAGAGTCTCCTTCCTGCCCTCCTCTGTCTCCGTCTGTCTTCAGGCCGCCGCAGGGTCTCAGGTTCTACCGGATCCCTGTTGTGATGGCACGGCGCCTCGCAGCCCCCTGGGGACTGAAGCCGGACGGAAGCCCCACAGACACCGGCGGCAGGGTGGGCAGAGGGGCCAGCACTGCCCGCTGACCTGCTGAGACGCTGCAGCACACGGAGCTCTCCCCGAGCCCGGCTCCCCTCGGTCCACAGGGCTGCTCGCAAACACCCCCGCCCCTCTTCTCAGAGTCCCCAGGACCGAAGCCTCAAGGTCAGGCCGCTTTCTCTCCCCTCGGGTTTCGGGATCAGGAGCTCTCCTGCCACTCTGCCACCTGCCTCCCCGGCCTCGGATCCCCTCCCCCATCCCTCTGTGCCCGACAGGCCAGGGGAGTCCCGAAGCCTCACGTGCACCGTGGCTGGGCTCTCTTTTGAGGGGCGCGGGCCTCCTCGGGGCTCTCCTCCTGCTTGTGCACCGAGGAGCCCAGAGCAGCCCGGGACGCCATCACTGGGCCAGACCATCCCTGTCTAACGGTGTGTCCCGCAGCGATGGAGGTGTTCTAGATGTGTGCTATCCCATCGGAGCCACCGGAGCATCTGAATGAAGTGTGATCAGCGAGCGACCAACCCGTCTGCATTTGTTATAGCCGCTGAACCAGTACTGACCCATCATCGTCAACCGAAGCCCGTGATTTACGTCATGGTTCTACACTCTGTGTTGTGCGGTTGTGAGTGTGGACAAATCCGTGTCATTGATCCACCGTTACGGTATCATCCAGACGGAGGAGGTTCACCGCCCTACAAATCAGTGCTGCTGCGATTCGCCCTCCCGTGCTCCACCCGCACCCATAACCACCACTCCGTGTATTGTCACTGTAATTCTGTCTTTTCCAGAAGGTCATAGGGTTGCCGTCTTTTTAGACCGGCTTCTTCCAACTTCCCAATTTACAGTGAAGGTACCTCTGTGTCTTTGTGCCTTTGTAGCTCACTTCTTGTAACCGCTGAATGTCGTCCCACGGTGTCGATCCATTCACCTACTGAAAGACATCTGGGTTGCTTCCAATCTGGGGCAGTTATGAATAAAGCTACTGAAACATTCGTGTACGGGTTTTGTGTGAACATACTTTTTAAGTCATGTGGACAAAAACCTAGGAGTGCAATCGCTGGCTTGTAGGGTTAAGACTCTCTTTAGAAACCCCCAAACTGTCTTTTAAGAAACTGTCCAACTGTCTTTTGTTGTTGTTGTTGTTGTTAAGATTTTATTTTTAACAACGCTCAGCGTGGGGCTCGAACCCACAACCCCGAGAGATCAAGGGTCACACGCTCCATTCACTGAGCCAGCCAGCCAGGTGCCCCTGTCAAACTGTCTTTCAACGTGTCAGTACCGTGTTGCATCCCCAGCAGAAATGAATGAGAGTTTCTGTTGTTCCACACCGTCCGTAGCATTTACGGTGTTCTGATTTGGGCTAGTCTCTGCGTACATAGGCACACGGTGGTATCTCATGGTCAATGTGCATTTCCCCAGTGACTTAGGACATTGAGCACCTCTTCATTTGCTTACTTATCGTCGGTAGATCTTTGGTGAGGCGACTCTTCAGATATTTTGCGCATCTTTTAATTGGGTTGTTTCTTAGAGTTAAGGTTTAAGAGTTATTTATATATTTTGAATAAAAGTCCTATATCAGATATGTGTTCTGCCAATATTTTCTTCCCCATCTGTGGCTTGCCTTTTCATTCTCTTAACGGGGTCTTCTGCAGAGCAATTTTTAGCTTTGATGAAGTACACCCTATCAATTTTTTTCTCTCAGTGTAGCATGATTTTGAGGTTTTATCTAAAAAATCATCAAACCCAAAGTCATCTAGATTTTCTTTTCTAGAAGTTCTATAGTTTTGCCGTACTGGCTCTTCTGGGCTGTTTGCCTCTCCATCCAACTTCTGAATCACTTTCATCAGTATCCACAAAACAGCTGGCTGAGATTTGGGTCGGGATTGAATTTATAAATCAAGTCGGGAAGAAGTGACAATACTAAGTCGTCCTTCAGTGAACATGGAATAGTTCTCCAGTTGTTTAGATCTTCTTTGATTTTTCTTCATTAATTTTGTAGTCTTCCTCACAGACATCTTGTACATATTTTGTTAGACCATTACTAAAGTATTCCACGTTTTCTCAAGCACTAATGGAAAATGGTGTATTAATTTCAAATTTTTTGTTGTTGGTATTTATTATGTCAACTGACTTGTGTGTATTATCCTCGTAACCCTGCCACCTTGCTATAATCGCTTATTTGTCCCAGGGATGTTTTTTTTTAAAGAATTGACAATTTTGATTTATTTTTAAAAAGTATTTAACATTTTATTTTTTTTAATTTTTTTTTCAACGTTTATTTATTTTTGGGACAGAGAGAGACAGAGCATGAACGGGGGAGGGGCAGAGAGAGAGGGAGACACAGAATCGGAAACAGGCTCCAGGCTCCGAGCCATCAGCCCAGAGCCTGACGCGGGGCTCAACTCACAGACCGCGAGATCGTGACCTGGCTGAAGTCGGACGCTTAACCGACTGCACCACCCAGGCGCCCCAAAAAAAGTATTTAACATTTTAAAAAATGTTTTTATTTTCGAGAAAGAGCTGAAGCAGGGGAGAGGCAGAGAGACGCAGACAAAGAATCCAAAGCAGGCTCCAGTCTCTGAGCTGTCAGCACAGAGCTCGACACAGAGCTCAAACTCACGGACTGTGAGATCGTGACCTGAGCCCAAGTCAGATGCTTAACCAACTGAGCCACCCAGGCGTCCCTGATTAAATTTCTTTTGATCAAGGCCTGTGAGGTGATTTCTTTCTCCTGTTTTTGTAATTATGCCTTTCAAGGAAGTGGTCCATTTCATCTAAGTTATCACTGTAAGCCGAGCTGTTCACAGTATCCCTTTACTCTTACGATGCCCATGGGAACAGCAGTAGTGGCCTCTCAGGTCTCATAGGGCCACGTTTTAATGTTATAGATGTCAGTGGCCTTTTGGGAGGCTGCCCTCTACATGGTCTACCAGGTTTTGTTGGTTAGATTCTATTCGTCTCCTCTCTGCATCCTTGACTTTCCTCCACTCTGAGTCTCTAAATTTCTCTCGTTCTGTGTGTTAATGAAAGACGGAAAACAAGGCCAGGGAGCCAGCCAGTCTTTGAGAAGATACAACTCCAGGAGTCCCTCTTAAATCCCCAAGAATATCTACTTAGATGTTCTAGGCAACCTATGAGAAAAGGGGCCGTCCAGCGATTATCACTTCAGTATAAACCGTCTTCACATCAGGAAGAACGTGTCTTCTGAGACTCGAGCTTAGACCACAGGAATAGTTTCAAGATTGCACTCCTCAGTACAAAAGTTAGGGTTCCGGGAAAACTGGGGGAAAGGACACTTTGCTAGATTTGAGTACAGAAATCCCAAATTAGGTATGAAGACCGAACAACGACACAGTTTGTGATTTATGACTTTAATATTTAGGTGTGAAGGTGAAGCCAGAGGACTTTGTGGGAACGGCTTTTTTGGTGACAATTTTGTAAAAACAAAAAACAAGCAAAAAAGCAAAAAGCCCTAAATTACAGAGGCCCCTCGGTGGCTCAGTGGATTAAGCGTCTGACTTCGGCTCAGGTCATGATCTCGCAGTTCATGAGTTCCAGCCCCGTGTCGGGCTCTGTGCTGACGGCTGGGAACCTGGAGCTGCTTCGGATTCTGTGCCTCCCTCTCTCTCTCTGCCCCTCCCCCATCTCTAAAAAAGTAAACATCAAAAAAAATTTTTAAAAAGTGAATTGCAAACTGAATGCTGGGGCTGATTCAATGTCATTTCGTACGCAACCCTCAATTCCACAACGTGCTCATCAAAACAGCTTTAGAGAGAACATTTTAACATTTTGGACCTCGGGTACAGAAAACTGGGTTAGTTCTAATCTTTGGTTCATGACATTCAGCACTGGTTCACACATGGTCTGCCTTTAGTTACGTCCAACATAAGTGTCCTGAATGGACTTCTCAAAAATGTTGGGGGCTTGACCACACGGTACCACATTCCCTGCCTCCTCCCTTGTAAGCATTCCATCCTTACGTTTCTCTTCAGCACTGTCCTTTCTCCTCCTGTAAGTCACATCTACAGGACTCGAAAAGAAGTGTATTTTACTCACCTTTTTGTAGGTGAGCATGCTGTATATCTTGAGACCTTTCTGCTCACTCTATCTCTAAGGCTTACCATGCCTTCTGCTTGGTTAGTCGGGGGTCACTAGTTTTAATTACTACACAATATTCCACTGGAAGATCGTATCCCATTTTATTCGTCCAGTCTTCAGTGGGACTTCGGTTGTTTCTAGGTTTTTGCTTTCTGTGAATGGTGCGAGGAACTCTTGACTCCTGTTATCCATGTGCAAGTTTTCCCTCAGTACACACTTAGGGCTGACATTTCTGGATTACAAGATGTGCGAAGTCCAACCCTAAAAGATATCACATCTTCTAAAGGACTGACCCACTTCTGAGTAACACCAGAAGCTTATAAGAAACGATGTGGGGGGCGCCTGGGTGGCGCAGTCGGTTAAGCGTCCGACTTCAGCCAGGTCACGATCTCGCGGTCCGTGAGTTCGAGCCCCGCGTCGGGCTCTGGGCTGATGGCTCAGAGCCTGGAGCCTGTTTCGGATTCTGTGTCTCCCTCTCTCTCTGCCCCTCCCCCGTTCATGCTCTGTCTCTCTCTGTCCCAAAAATAAATAAACGTTGAAAAAAAAATTTTTTTAAAAAAAGAAACGATGTGGGATCCCTCCAACCCTACATACCGTCAGACTGTTAAATTTTTGCCAACTGAACGGATGTAAAATGGCACCTCACTGATGCCACTCGTGTTGATTTGCCCTGTAATTTCTCCCAGTTTGTAACTCAGCTTTTCACTTTCTTTGAAGACACTTTATCATCTATTAGAGCGGGGGTGTCTGGGTGGCTCAGTCGATTAAGCGTCCGACTTTGGCTCAGGTTGTGATCTCACAGCTTGTGAGAGAGATGTGCTGTCTCTCTCAAAAATAAACATTAAAGAAATTATTAGTGCATAAAAGACTTCATCTTCCTTTCTTTTTAAAGTGGAAATATAGTTGACATAGGATATTCTGTGAGTTTCCGGTGTGTTTGCCATTGTGATTGTACACTTACATACATTTAAAAAGCTCATCAGAGTCCGTGTAGTTACGACGTGTCACCATACAGGTGTTATAATACTGACTACGTTCCCGGTGCTGTACTTTTCATCCCCGTGACTTATAACCTGAATTTTGTACGTCTTCATGCTTTTCACGTATTCACCTGCCCGATCACCCCCCAGACCCCCTGGCAGCCACTAGTCTGTTCTCTGTACTGAAGTCTGTTTGTTCATTTTTTATTCCACGTGAGTGAAATCATACAATATTTGTCTTTTTTTTTTTTATTTTAATGTTCATTCATTTGAGAGAGCTAGAGTGCGAGCAGGGGAGGGGCAGAGAGAGAGGGAGACACAGAGTCCGAAGCAGGCTCCAGGCTCCGAGCTGTCAGCCCAGAGCCCGACATGGGGCACGAAATCATGACCTGAGTCGAAGTCGTACGCTTAACCAACTGAGCCACCCAGGTGCCCAGTGTTTCCTTATTTCACTTCGCAAAATAACCTCTAAGTCCATCCATGTTGTGCAAATGGCAAGAGCTCACTTCTTACGACTGAGTACCATCCCATTGTATATATATACATCTTAATCCGTTCATAGGTCGATGGGCCCTTAGGGTGCTTCCGTGTCTTGGCACTTATAAATAATGCTGCAATAAACAACGAAGCCTGCGTTTATCTTGCTGAATTAGCTTGTCTTCCTGAAGTAAACACTCCAAAATAGAACTGCTGGATCGTATGGTATATTTACTTTTCGTCGAGGGACCTCCACACTGTTCTCCACAGCGGCCGCACCAGTGTGCATTCCCACCAACTGTGCACGAGGGTTCCCCTTTCTCCGCATCGCCAACACCTGTGTCTCCTGAGTTGTTAACGTTGGCCACTCTGAAAGCTGTTGAGGCGGTACCTCGTTGTGGTTTTGATTGGCATTTCCCTGACGACGAGTGACCTTGAGCATCTTTTCGTGTCTGTTGGCCGCCTGGATGTCTTCTTTGGAGAAGTTTCTACTCAGGTCTTCTGCCTGTTTTTTTTTTTTTTTTTTTAAATCAAGTATTTTTGGGGGGTGTTCAAATGCACTTCTTTACATATTTTGGATATTGACCCCTTACCATAGATGTCATTTGCAAATCTCTTCTCCCATTCAATAGGTTGCCTTTTCATTCTGTCCATGGTTTCTTTCACCACGTGAAAGCTTTTGAGTTTGATGGAGTCCCACTTGTTTCTGCTTTTGTCGCCCTGGCTTTCTCGTAGCCGTAGTATAGTTTAACATCCAGGAACGTGGTACCTCCACCTTCGTTTTTCTCAAGACCGATTTGGTTTCTTGGCCTCTCGTGGTTCCCGATTTTACGATCATTTATTCTGATTCTGTGAAAGATGCTATTGGTGTGTTGAAAGGGACGGCATGGAGTCTGTAGACTGCTTCGGGTATCATGGGCATTCTGACGACATGATTTCTTCAAATCCGTGAGCACAGAGGATCTTTCTGTTCGTACCACCTTCCATTTTTTTCACCCAGGTCTTCTGTGTACAGGTCTTTCTCCTCCTTGGTTAAATGTATTCCTGGGTATAAAACACCTCATTTTAATGCCAGATTTGTCAGTAGAACTTTCAGCTCATGCTTCATGTCTCAAGGGCAAAGCAGCAGTTATCTTTACTTTTTTCCCCCAGGTCTTAAAATTTTGTGTTACATTTAAGACATTAACTTCCTATGGCATGAGGTAGGAAATCAACTTTCACCCTTTCCCACAGATACATACCCAGTCATTCCAGCTCCAATTATCAAATTCTCTTTCCCCAATGTGACGTGCCACCTCTTACACCAAAGTCCAGTCCACGTGTGCCCTTCTCTAGGCATTCTGGGCTGCTCCACCGGGAAACGTGTACAGCCCTTGGCTCACACCGAGCTCTCTTCGTTAACATAGCTTCATGTGAACAGGTCTTAACATCCGACAGGACAAGTGCCCCCCGCCCTGCCTTTTCTTTTCTGAAACGCTGTAGCCCTTGGCGATCTTTCACCTTTTATTTTGAAATTGCTTTAACAAATTCCATGAGAAAACCTGGTGTGATTTTGATTGGAATATATTTGAATCCATAGGTCTATTTGGGGACACATGACAACTATTGTCTTCCTAGCTATTAACGTGTCTCTTCCTATTTACTGAGGTCTTAGTTATTGTCTCTTAATAATACTTAAAAAAAAAAAAGGAAAAAAGTTCTGAAGTTTGAGAGAGAGAGGAGAGGAGGAGAGAGAGGGAGAGGGAGAGGGAGAGGGAGAGGGAGAGGGAGAGAGAGAGAGAGAGAGAGAGAGAGAGAGAGGAGGGAGAATCCCAAGCAGGTCCTAGACTCTTGGTGCAGAGCCCCACGGGGGGGCTTGAACTCATGGACCGTGAAGTCATGACCTGAGCCGAAATCAAGAGTCGGAGATTTAACTGGCTGAGCCACTGAGGTGCCCCAAGTGTTTTCTTAAAGAGGCCTTCAGTATGTATTGTTAACGTCCTAGGTACTTGGTGATGATGCTGCCATAAAAGGTATCTTCTGGCCTTCTAGTTATTGCCATGAAGAAATGCACCTGGCTTCTGAGAGGTAATGCCACACCTCGCTACCTAACTACACCCTCTATTTCTAGTACTTTCTCTAGATTCCTTTAGACTTTAAGAACAGATTAACATGCAAATATCGAGCGTCTCCTCCTTACTGCTTCCTATGACTGACTCTGTTTTGACTCTACTGAACACAGATCTCCAACTCACCGCAGGCAGCCCTGTGTTCCCGACTTTAAAAGGGAATGAGCTTCCTCTTTTTGGAAGATGGCCGCTTTTCATTTCTTTGTTTGGTTTTACACAGAAACCATCAGCTTAAGGAAATTCCTTCCTGGTTCTGACTTACCAAGAGTTTTCATCATGAGTGGGTGTTGAATTCTATTAGGTGCTTAACCTGAATCTGCTGAGCTAGTCAGAATGGTTTTCTCTCTTGAATCTGTTCATGTAGTAAATTGACAGATTACATTTAAATACGTTACATTTACAGATTTTAACGCTAAGCCATCATTACATCCAAGAAGTAGTAGACAAACTTAAACCTAGAAATCTGTATTGTAAAATAGTGCTTTTCATCTGTTTTCCGTAGTATTTCATGGGTAAAAACGGCTGGCTGGCAGATAGAGTGTGAAACCCATGGGACAGACGGTCTCTCTCGTCCACAATCCTGTAGCTGCCGTGTTTGATTTAGGCCCTTTCTGCTTCGAATTCGACCAGAAAAAGGAGCTCCTTCCTGACCAGACGCTAACTCGGCGTGACGGGCTGAGGAGCAGAGCCGGAGAATGTGATCTCTGAGCGACTGAGAGCAGTTCTTGGCGTTAAAGAAACGCTGAGGTCCTCCACGCAAAGCGACGGGAGATCACCACTCACCGTGGCAAGATCGGTCGCAAGCAGACGTGACAAGGGCGGCGGCGGCAGCTGCGCGGAGTCAGTGGAGGAGAAACGAAAGCACCACAGGTCAAGGTGAGCCGCCAGCAAGAGTAAGAGAAACGGCAGAACAAGGGAGCGTATGGTTTTCCTTTTTATTTAATCACAGACAGGTGGGGTAAACGTAAACACAGCACGATTACTCCAGATCCTTCTTCGTATCGTGTACACACCCAGACCGGTGAACGCTACCGAAAGAGGCCTGCGGTCGGCGATGAAACGCACACAGCCGTTCCTTCCCTCGCTCAAACAATTCAGAAACACACAAACGTAGAATCTCATCGGCACACACTCTCCTGTGACAAATGATTCAGACATAAATAGTGGGTGCAAAGAAACTATATGCTAACACAGGTATAACCTTTGTTAATGAAACAACAGAAGCAGCCATAATGATTAAGATACATTCAGTTACTGGTAACTAGTTGTGCCCTAACGGGCATTATCAAAAGAGAAATCGTGCTGCAGAGAAAAGCTCTATATACACACACAATGAGAAAAATAAACTGCAAGTTCAACGCATGCATGTTTAATACTGGAAAAATCACAGCCCTCCGAAAGGTCTCCACGTTTGTTAGAAAAGCCCTCTGCGCTCAACTAAAATTAAAATGATCTTAGAAGGATAATACTTGTAAAGTTTACTTAAGTCTTTTCAGCCACAGAAACTGCAATGGAAATAAATGTTCAGAGTCATTTTCAAAACAAAACCAAAAATCTATTCTTCTGGTTGACATGCATGATTAAAAGGTCTGTGCCACGCATACTGCTCTACACTCCCCAGGACTAGGAAAAAAGACCTCAAGTCAACTTTTAGTTTGCAGATGGTCAAAGGAGTTTGTATTCCAGCAGGAGTTCAGATCTTCTGGATCTTTTCGCCGACAACTACCGGGTTTTCTTTTCTGATTTTCTCCGCGGCATCAGCTTTGTAATTGTACGAGCAATTGTGCACGTCTGAGTAACGATGTACACCACAGTACACATGTCCACACCGGCATTCAAACCCTGCAAACGGATCAGTACACATGCGTGAGCGGGAGGGAGGGACTGACTGCACGGTGCCTTAGCACCGTCAACACTAACAGCATAGGCTACGCAACGCGGCGTCTAAACAAGAACGCTGGGCAGTTGCAGGACCTGGTTAACGGTTTCGGTTCAGACTGCACCAGCTGATCGCTTCCTTCCTCGTTCCTACCCTACGAATGCAGGTGCGTAGCACGGCAAATCACAACCGCTGCCCTGCGCTCGGGTCTCCACCTGGGACGTGGCCACAAATTACTTCCTACCAAAGTCGGGATCGCTGCACCGAATGTAAAACGCTTCTCAAATCCAAATTCTAAGTGTGCAGGAAAGCACACCATCAGAGGCAACCTTAAAATTTAGTGAAAAAGCTGTAAGGAAACTTCTGGGAGGCCTGGATCCACGCTGGCTTCCCGCGGCACACCCCTGTGGGGGCGGGGCTCCCGCGGCTCAGCGCGAGCAGGAGCAGGGGTGCGTCAGGGCCGCCTCAGCGTGAATTCGCTCGCTAACGCAGGCCAGTTACCGAGCTTCTCCGAGCCTCAGTTTCTGCATCTGTAACTTTGGAATAAGTTACTGTAGGGACCGAATGGGGAACGTGGTGAGCACTTAATACACGGTAAACGTGCAATAATGCGATTTAATTTTAGGGAAATGCCCACAGGGCTGAAGCCGAAAGAGAGATCTCGAGTGTGGGTGGAGGGCCTTTATAGAAAACCGGTCCTGCTTCTCATAATAGAGTATTTTGATGTGATGGAGCTGCTGGAAACGGAGCACAGGAATCGACATTTTGAACACTGACGTTTGATGGAAGTTTCCTCTACCACCTTTTTGTTTGTTTCAGAAACACATTCTGTCCCCTCGTGACAACGAATGGAAAATGAAGCCAACTCTAACGCCAGACCGACAGACCGGACAAGATGAAAATTACTGAGTCTCCACCTTCCCATCACGAAGTCTGAGTGTTTCTGAGACTCAGAAAGACTGTATTTGACACTAAATACATCTATTTCGAAATGTCTTATTTGTCCGTGATTGTATTCTCTAAATAAACACATTTGCCCAAGTACGGGCCAGTCGTAAGTGTCTCTGACATCAGATTATAATCCCCTTTCCACTTGGTCTCCAACCTACTCCTTGGCGGGAGAACCCTTCCTAAAAAGCATCAGATTTTATCCGGTCTTGTCAGCTCTGTACGTCAAGTTCTTATGCTACGGAGCACAGAGCACGGCGCCTGGCGCACACACAGCGAGAAATGGTCATTGTTTAGAAGCTGTGACCGCCGTCCACCAGGAAGCACAGTGCATGCACATCGTGAGCCGGTCCGTGTTTCTGTCTCACCGCGTATCCGACGCCCCCGTTCACACGCTCCGTGCCGCGGCCACACTCCCCATCCGCGGCCCCTGACGAGGCCCCGTTCTTTCCTTCCTCCGACCTTCTGGTCGAGCTGTTCTTTCTGTCTGAAACGCCCCTACTCCATCAGCTCTGGGTCACAGCCCTCCTTCAGGGCCTGCCTCAAACGTGCTGCCGTCGTGGTACTTTCCGTGACGGGCTCCTACTCCCCCCTCTTCCATTCGGATGAACCGAGGCACCTGTCCGACTTCCCAGAGTCTGCTGACTGTGCTTCCTCTGCTCCACACCCAAGTGGCATCTCACTACGTTTCCTCCCTCCCCGAGTAACGGTGCGTCTCACAGCGGGGCCTGCCGAGCTCGGGTCCCCTCCTGTGTGCACTCTCTGGCCCTCGGAGCACCTGGCGCCCGGGCCCGACCCGTCTGACATTCGAAGACTCTGCTGGGATGGACCAGTAAAAGAGCATCTATTCATGTCACTCTCAGGTATATAATTAAAGACACTTTAAGAAAACTCAGAAGAGGGGAATGAATCCAGGATTAGCTCTCATGGGAACACACGTGAACCTCCTGGGGCCTGGAACAGTAAGGCACGCGTTATTTTAAAGAACACTCTGAGGCTGACGCCACTGCACTTTGGCCCTTACCAGTAAGTCCTACTTTCTTCCTGCACATGAAACAGCGGTTCTTTTTCTGTTTTGGCTTTTCAAGAGACTTGCTTTGCTCCTCAGATGGCTGCTGCGCCGTATCTGATACTGAAGCTGACAAAACAGGAAGGAGGTAGAGTTTAATTATTCAGTAAGATTCTGACACTGGTTGGTGGCCGTCCCCCTCCCACCCCACCAGTCTGTTACCGTGAGGGCCACTGAGGACTCCGTTAGCCTGGAAGAGGCTTACACGGAGTTACAAAGCTGATTACATAATATGACCCCCTATTCCTCAAATGTATGTGTGCATGTGACGTACGTGTGGATGTGCACACGCAGGAAATCTGGAAGAACATATATCAATATGTTAACGCTGACTCAAAATCTAGCACGGCATTCCCTATGTTTTTTAAATTATGTATTTGAAATAAAAGGTGCAAGCACTCATACACACACACACACACACACACGCACGCACACAAATACTCCTGGGGTATTTTCTACGGGAGTGTGTAAGGAGATGGCTACAGGCCAACTTCTGAATATTGCTGGGGTCCGAACTATGTAGATTTCTCAGAACAAGGGCAAAAAAAGGCTGAAAGCAAGACCGGGTAGAGCACCATGTTTAAAAGTCTCAGAATGTTCCACATAAAACCTTTAAAACGTTAGCAAGGTCGATGTAGTAGAATGTTACAAACAGGATAACAAAATGACGCATTTAAGCAGTGAAGCAAAGGCCGGCTGCACCAAGATTCCAATTCCTGCACCTAAACCCTACCTCACTGAACCCTCCGGGCCGCGGTCACCAGGCAGGGGCGGTCACGTGGCCCAGCACACACGCCATCCCGCTCCCGAACAGTGACCCTCCACGGTCGCTGTGGGGCCAGGCACCTGTGTTCACACCACCCACGGCCGGGACCCAAGGGCCCTTTCCTCGACCTCCTCACACCTGGGTCCACCTGATCTTCTTTCTCGGGAGCAGCTCGAGTATCCCCTCCTCCACAGAAGCCGTCCCACTTCTCCACGAGGCTCACTCATCACCCCTGGCTCCCTGACCAGTCCCACCAAATCCTGGGCCCGCCACGTGCATGCCTCTCCGGGCCACACTTGACACGGCACGGAGCCCACGCCCCGCGATGTGACTCACCCCCAGGACAAAGCCTGGAGGCCCGGCGGCACCCTCCCCCTGCTACAGCCGCCCCGAAGCGCCTGTCTCTCTGAACACACACGGTCTCTGGCCTCTGGTCTCGTCGGCCTCCTTTCCGTGTGGAATGCTTGCCCACGGCCCTCGGCTCCCACTCTTCACGGGGCTCTCATTTTTAAGCGTCTACCATCAACTTTTCCCCACCCCCTATGCACCGACCTGGATTAGGAAGCTTACCGTGTGCCCCAGCAGTGCTGCCCACACGGCGGGAGCCGCCTGTCTGCCTGAACCTGGCTTAGCGGTGTGCTCCTCCAGGGTGGGAGCTTGTCCGGTGAGCTCCTCCAGGGCGGGGCTCGTCCTTCCCGCTCCTGCTCCCGGTGCCGATCCTCGAGCCCCGACCGCAAGCTGGCGCCGCAGAGACCCAAACCTCATTCCTGCACTACTCGCCCTCTGTAATCGCGTGCCCCGGTTTCCCCAATTACGGGGTCAGCCCACCCAGGAGGGACGGTATCGTATTTCCCGTCTGCACCTCCAGCTCCTGTCCAGCGAGCTACGCGGAGCGGGCTCTCAGTCATGTGAGGTCATGGATTCTGACCTATGTTAACCGTATGACCTCCTGTTTTAACAAAACACGACGAAGACAAAACAGCACAAACCGAAAAGTGAACACGCACAAATGAGCAACTCTGTGATCACTCCACCTAGAAATTCTGAAGCCAGATGGGAGACAGTTCTACTAACACGAACGTTTTATTTTGAAACACATTATGGACACGTAAAACCTCTTATTATCGATAAACAAACAGCCTCAGGACTCGAGCTCCAGGGGGGCAGGGGCGGAGTGTCGTTTACTTGTTGTATCCCTAGCCCCCGGAACAATATCAGATAACGTCCCTCTATGTGTAAAGGGCTCAAAAATAGTTTAACTTGCAATCCAAAGAGAATGTATTTATTGTCTTTGAAATCTGTAAGCCGTAATATCTAACCTGTTCTCCCAAGAAACCGTGATATTCAAATAAACATATAAACAATGCTTTAGTGGCAGTAACAGCACTACCACAAGAAAACATTTTTTAACAAGACAGGTTTGATTACCGAGGCACAAACTCTGGTATGTGGAAACAGAGAGGTGAAAACAGGCACTCGCCTGCCACACACACGAATGCTGTTGCACGGAAGTGTCTCAAGGAAGACATTTCACAGTATGGACCCTGAAGGTCCGTCTACAGCAAACGCACAGCCTGTAGAGCTAAGAGTCCACAAGGAATCTAAGAGCTCAGGAGCTGGGGCGAGCATCTGACGCTGATCACTGTCCACTAGATCCCCAGGGGACCAAGGTGACCTTAGCTTACCTCAAACTAGTGGTCGGTAGCTAGAGTTGAAACATTTCAAAAATCAATTCGTGGGCAAGAGGATACAGCGTTTGGCATAAGTCTACGATTCCCAGAGATTCTGTTTCCTTACTTTCTAGGAGACTTACGACCAAAGCATGCCTGATCAAACTCATGATTACGTAAAAGGAAACAATCCAGTCTTTTAAAAGGGCCGTACTCATATTGAACCTGAAGCCAAAATAGGAAGTCTGCTCGGAACTGGGCAGTTTTTCGCAATCTGAAATGAGCACCGAAGACAAGAGGGCACCTGCTCTTTAAGGGTTAGCGACCGGCAGCTGCCTATGTCGTATCTGCACGACCGAAGGTCTACTCGGGCCGCCTGTGCGATGGCATTAAGGCTGTGGAATCAACTTCATTTTTAACGGGAATCTCAACTAGACAAAGTCGATTGGCCAGTGACTTCAAGATGCTTCAAAACCACAGGGCGGGGGCGCCCGGGGGGCTCAGTGGGTTACGCGTCCAACTCCTGATTTCGGCTCAAGTCACGACCTCACGGTTTGTGGAAGTGAGCCAGGCATCAGGCTCTGTGCTGACAGCATGGAGCCTGCTCGGGGTTCCCTCTCTCGCCCTCTCTCCCTGTCTCTGCTCCTCCCCCTCATTCACACTCATTTTCTCACTCTCAACATAAATAAACTTAAAAAACATTTTAAAAAGAACAGGGCAGATAAAATTATAGTTCAACTACCCACATGGATGATCACATTCAAAAGAAACAAGGCCCTCTACTCTGGGTCCTGTTAAGGAAAAAAAGTACACAAACATAACAGTGAGAGTTTTATACACTCATTTTAATGAGTGTATAATGAGCATTTTAATACACATTGTGAAAAGTGACACACAGGAGGACATTAACAGGCACCCCAACAAAGCTGACCGTGGACACGGCACCCCTGCGACGTGACCCCCGGGCCTTGCTGACCCAGGAGGACGAGGGTCCCGCTCATCACCTCTGCCCAGGGCGGACAGAGAGTGGCCGCGCGGCAGACACTGACTGCGCGTGCACACTTTTCCGATGACCCCCTACGGTAACACTCCGTCCTCCTCTGTACTTCGTTTCACGCGAAGTGAGGAGGTGGACCGAATCATCTTTGAGTTACTCCTAGCTCAAGAATTCTTCACAAAATGAGAACACTGTAAATATTCGTGAGAAAAATGAGCCCGTATAGTAGCAGGGTCCAAAAAAATATGCCGAGCCATAGATTTAATTTTATATTTTCCAGCCATCGTGTTAGGAAGTTTAAGAAGGGTAAGTTAATACATATCATCATTTAAAAATGTAATTGCTATGAAAGTATTAACGAGATATTTCTCATATTTTTGATACTCAGTCTTCAAAACCCAGCATATCTGCAAACGAGCACGCACTGAACTACATAGTTCCGGCCCAGCCACGCTTCGGGTGCCCACGCTACCTGAGACCAGTGGCCGCCGTTCCAGACAGAGCAGCTCTGTGCACGAGACCAGTTTCTGTTAGCAGCTGTCTGGGGGCAAAGAAGCGTCACATCAATCTTCTTGAAATACGACTTTGGGCCATCTTAAAAAAAATGAAAAAGGAACCGAACTTCACGAGGCGATCTCCCCTACCCACCGGTCAGAACCCAGCACCTCAGGAATCTTCCACGACTTGGTTTAGACAGGTTCTTGGCGTCAGGCCCCAACGGGCGTCCAGCGGCTGCGGCCCCTTGGCTGGTTCCCGAGCACTTCCCCTCCCAGGGCTCCTTCTCCAGCAGAGAGCCCTCTTCACGGCGCCCACCTGCCGTCCGAATGAACCATTCAACCCGTGGCCTGTGTACCTGGTTTCTTCTGCTTGCCCTGTTTCCAAAGCCCACCCACGTTGGGGGGCCCCGGAACCGGTCTCCCTTCCAGGCCAAGCAGCACTTCGGCCTGCTTGGCCCGCCTCTCTGTGTCCGCTCAGAGCCTGTCTGCTGACGGCCGTCTGGTTGGTCGCTGTAAGCAGTGAGGCTGTGAACATCCTTACACAAGTTTGTGTGTGTGGACATAGGCTTTCCATCTCCTGGGATTTAGGAAAGGAGTCTCTGGGCCATACAGTTAACTCTCTAACTTTCTGAATTAAATCTGTGACTGCCAAACTGTTTCTCGAAGAGGCCGTGTCCTTTTATATCCCCAACAAACATGTATTACGGTTCTAATTCCTCCATATCCTCAACACGTGGACCGTCTGTGTATCTTCTCTGGAGAAACGTCTATTCGAATCCTCTCCTTTGCCCTTTAAAAGACTGGTCTTTCTATTGTTGAATGATGACACCTCTTTACACATTCCTATCAGATACAGGATTCACAAATATTCTTAACCATTCTCTGGATTGCCTTTTCGCACTCCTGACGGCGCTCCATGAAGCACCCGGGTCCTGACTCTGCTGTAGGTCAATGCGCCCGTTTTCCTCCGGTCCCTTGTGCTCTAGGCGTCCCGTCCAAGGAGGCACTGCCTCACCCGAGGCCATGAGGAGTTATGCCTGTTTTCCAGTTTCAGCTCCTACCATTTGGGTCTTTGATGTGTTTTGGGGCAAACGTCTGTAAAAGGTGAAGGAGAGGTCTCATTCTTTCAAGTGTCCCAGCATCACCTGCTGAAGCCCAGGCTTCGCCTACTGGATGGTCTCGGCTCCCTGCGGAAAATCAGCTGCCTGCGAACCGCGGGGTGTATCGCCGGACGCCCGGTGTCACTCCAGGGCCCGACGGTAGTGTCCTCTCGCCTGTTCCCGCGGTCTTGGGGACTGCAGCAGGTAGTACGCTTTGAACTCTGCTCTACTTTTTCCAGGACCGCTTGGCTATTCTCGCCCACCCTCTCCAGTCAGAAGATATCTTTGAGTTTTAAGCAGCGTCACACAGAGTAAAGACTGTGCGGTCAGCCCGTTATCCCGCGGGCTTGGGGCACCTCTCCTTTATGACACAAATATGGCTCAGAGAAGTGGGGTGTCGGGTCCACACGCTGTAGTAGAACCTCGGACCCCAATGCCGCTTCTTTTGGGGAAGATCCTGCATCTGAGAGACTCAGGTGAACTGAAGGCGGGGAGGCAATGCTGTGCCGTCAGACAATCAAGTAGGATGGTTTCAAGTGCACCAAAACGCTTAAAAGAATTTTTGAAGCTACCTTTTGTGAACTGAAAATCCGACATTCCTAAGTTAGAGACCACGCAAGTGAGGTATCGCCAATCGTTAAAGTAAAAAGAATAATGAAATGAGAAACGTGCTGTAATACGCTAAATACTCATTTAAACGCGAGAAAAATTCTTCGGAGCCACGGGGACAAGATGAAAGCGGTACCACCCACCTGGTGGCAACAAATCTTAATTATCAGCAGAATACCTACAGAGAACAAAGCTGTCTCAAGAACCCTAATCTGAAAACTCCAATGAAGAATGTTAGGAGGGGCGCCTGGGGGGGGCTCAGTCGGTCGAGCGTCCGACTTCGGCTCAGGTCATGATCTCACGGTACGTGGGTTCGAGCCCCACATTGGGCTCTGTGCTGACGGCTCAGAGCCTGCTTCAGATTCTGTGTCTCCCTCTCTCTCTGCCCCTCCCTCACTCGCACTCGGTCTCTCTCTCAAAAATAAACAAAAAAACATCAGGAAAGTCTGGCTTGGGTACACAGCTGCTACTCACGTACCCTCTTCCATCTGGGATTTTCTTCCCATCTAGATAAATTTCCCTGAGGGACACAGAGGGAGTAGACACTTGGCAGGTCACCAAAGCAGAGGAGCCCGCCCTGGCAACGGAGGGCTGCCCCTGGTGACAGGAAGCCACATCCACCTCCTAATCTAGGAAGCACCACGGCCGGTGGGCACAACTCTGGCCCGGAGTCCAGCTCAGACACTGTAGGGCTGGAGTCCAAGACTTATTCTCTGTGAGTTTTCGTCCATCCAGTAAATAGACGGAGAAAAGCGTTCTCTGCATTTACTCCTACCACCAAGGAAAGCACAAGTACATCGGTGTCAGGAGAGTGCGTGTACACACGCACGCACGCACGCGCACACACGCCTGGCCCCGCTCTCCGCGAGTCTGCTTCATGCCCCTTCACTTTTACGAAAAACCTACATTAGGACCTGTTTTTGCTAACCAGTAGATACCCAAAGAGAATTTCCGTGTTTATGAAATGGCAATTGCTTCTTTATCCCGTTTTGGTTTACAAAAGGCTTGACAGAAACGCTCTACTTTTGGACAGTGGGGGACACCTGCACTCGGGTACACGTTTCTCATAAAAGAAGACAGTCTTAATTCAACGGGGTGGGCAAGACGTTTTTAAAATAGTGAAAACGAATCCTCTTAAACTGAAATGAAAACTTACACCTTGTTCCTCAGAGATCCTGCAACGCTAAGATAACGAATGCTGAGTTTTTAAAAGGTACTTAGAAGCTGCTACTGGCTTGACCTCCAAGGTCACTGAAATCGTACGTGAAAAAAAGAGTCTACAGATTTTCAACACGCCTTACGATTTCTCCTAATGTGGCTTCAAGGCCACCTTTGGTACTCTTGTTGCCAGGGCCACTCAGTGCAGAAAGCCACGCCGTCCTCCACACACGCATGGTGTACGTTCACCACCCTGTCTTCATCCTCGGTGGCCGTGGACACCAACTGCTGCCACGTCTGCCCGCAGCACCCATTTCGCTCACAGTCTACAATACGTGCGTGCCACTGCGAGACAGAACATAAGCGAGGTCAGCAGCCTGTGTTCATTTTTCCTTCCTTCGCTCTCAGCAACCCTTGCTTCTCCAAACTCTCTAGTGGTCGGCACCTGGGGGCTGCAATAACCCAGGGCCCAGATGACTTCTCCTTCTGCTGAGTCGTTATCCAACTTGCTCCCCTAATCTCAGCCTCTCACTTTTCAAAGTGTGCCAAGGACTTCCAAGTCTCAGACGTGACACCGATCACACATTTAAAGACCAATGCTCGACCTACAACCTCCAGCCGAGCTCTTCGGTTCTGAAATGGGATCACGCCCCGCGCACACCTGGTCTGGCCGTGCCACCTCTCCCAGCGCCCGGTCTGAAGCAGCCCGCCACCGCCACTGTCGCAAAACCGAAAGCTTTACCACCCTGCTCCTATTTCCCGCGTCTCATGCGTAACTAAATCTCAGGGATTCTTCTCTTTCTGCTTTGAAACCATCCCTCATCTGTGCCCTTCCTTAAGTTTTTCTATTTAACCAAGAAATAAAAATTATTTATACTTATAATGCTTATGTTGGCCAAACAGTACATATCCTCGCTATAGCAAAATCCATGATGGGCAAAATTATGCCAACATTTATTGGGCATAAACTCAGAGCAAGAGAAATTAGCCAACTCAACTACATCTGAACTAGAGAGCTTAAACTAACATCGCCAGAAGTTTCTCTCGCTGTCATGTGAGCACGATGTCCCGTGGCGGGGGTCACTGTCAGGGCAGCCTGTCTCTCTGAACCGTGCTGGAGGCAGAGGGACACAATGGTCACCCTGGGCTCACCTTTCCTGAGTGTCCTCCTTCTGTAAAGCCATCGTCCCCATGCTGGTGGAACAGAACCCATCCAGCGCAGTCTGCCTCCCAGCCTCCTAAGTGTCTCCCCTACGATCGCTGCCTACCGACAAAGCCCTCCCAGATCACCGTGACCCACACAAGGGGGGGCGTGCAGAGTGCGGGCAAGGACACGAGGCACTGAGCAAGATGCCGCAGTGGGTTACCGACGGGAGAGGGTCTACTGCCGGTCAAATTCAATGGTCTCTTCGACGGCCCAGGTCAGAAACAAGAGATTCCTCGTAAACCAGCAACCCCAGGTACTTGGAGGGGAACTAGTATTTGGGTTAAACTGGTAAGAATAAGAGTAAGAGAGAACAGGAGAATATAATCCCACTACTCACTCACTCAGTCACAACTCTCAACTAAACACATTTACGGCTTTCGACTTTATACTGATGACATAATTACACAGAAGTGGGAAATGGCCCCCAACAGTTCAGTCAATTCAATCCCCGAAGACCTAAAACGTTCTGCTCATAAAGAAAACAAACAGCAAACTATATTTGAGGCTGGCAATTTAAAAGACAGCGGCACCTCGGACAGGCCTGGCCTGTAACAGCCAGCTGTCGGGTAAAGGACCGAACCCGCGCGAGCCCACGTGCAAACCTTGCAGGTCTTCCGTGTCAGGGATCGCTTTGTCCACAGACGTACTGTCCACTTGGGAAGATGCTACAGATTCGGATAAAAGCGACTGATTTGATACAGGGCTAGAAAAGCAAAAATATCGAGATTTTAAAAGTGATTTCCCGGCATGAACGGTACCTAAAATGATGTAGTAAGTATGCGTCCAACATATCTAAGCAGTCATCACAGCAAGAACAAACACAGAGATCCTTCTTTATAACTTGTGCATTTAGCACAGAGAGCCATGAAACTGGAGACTGGTCTGGCCTGGAGTTCACGGCTTCAGAACTCAGAGCAGCGGCAAGCGCCCTCCGCGCACAAAGGCACCCCACGAAAACTAGCGCGGTGGTCACGACCGGCTCCGGGGGCCCTGATGCCGCGGTGGGAAGGGCACTGGGCGTCTCCGATCATGAAGCGGAGAAAGAACTAGAGGGTGGAAACCCGGTCCCCGCTTCCTAACAGCAGAGTGAGGACGAAGCCAATAGGTCTGTGCTCCCAGAGCGAGAAGGGAAAGCCGCCCTGCGCACAGTGGGGCCGCGGGGGGCAGGACTGGGCGCCTGAATTCACGAGGACCTCGGGGGCGGGACATGGGATGAGCAGAAGCGAAGGAAAAGCTGTCTGAAAAAGAAATGTGAACTGAGAAGACACCTTCCCCACTGCTTCCCAAGGTAAACTTGACTTTCTAACCGCCGTTCTCAGGCCAGCTAACCCCGAAGTGACCTGACCCAGTCCTCCCGCGGAGACCCGAGCACGTAGAGAGGATACGCTTTGCTCCTCGGCAGCTTTCCCGGCCCTGTGCAGACACAGTGTCTTACCTGGGCTGCACGGATGCAGATGTGGAGTCTAGGGGTGACTGTGCATCGGGGACGCTGCCGTCCGCGCACTGGACCGGGAAAGACTCGGACAGGGTGCCGACAGAAGCCGCTGCAACAGAACCGCGCTTGGTGTCAGTGACCCTGCGCTCTGGGCGTCCCCACACCTTCCCTGAGAAACCACCACCCACCTTCCGCAAAACAGCTAGAAATCTTGTTTTACTGAATATAGAGTATGCTGGTTCGTTGCTTTCCGTTAAAAGTGTTTCAGTAATTTTCCAATTGGAAAAAAGTTAATTTCAACCAAGAAAAAAACCATATACAAACTGTATATATTAGTAAACTACACTCCCGTTTCTCAGGACTTCATGTCACTTGGATCCTTTAATCCACAAACTCTTCCAAGCACTGCTGTATACGTGGAGGGATTTAGAATCAAAGCTGTAGCAGTTAAAGCAGACAGAAGTCCAGAACTAAAATCTGTGCTCAGCACGAGGCTACATTTTTCCCCCGTTCTTTTTTTTTTTAATGTTTACTTATTTTCGAGAGAGAGAGAGAGAGAGAGAGAAAGCGCAAGTGGGGGAGGGGCAGAGAGAGAGGGAGACACAAAATCCGAAGCAGGCTCCAGGCTCCGAGCCATGAGCACAGAGCCTGACGCAGGGCTTGAACTCACGAACCACGAGATCATGACCTGAGCCGATGTCAGACGCTTAACCGACTGAGCCACCCAGGTGCCCCTCCCACGGTTCTTCACAAAGCAGAAATGTAGATGACAATTTCATGTTAAAAACAACAATTTCTGGGGCACCAGGATGGCTCAGTGGGTTGACCGTCTGACTCATTCTCGGTTGGCTCGGGTCGTGATCTCATGCATCGTGAGGTTGAGCCCTGTGTCCAGCTGGGCGCTGACAGTGCAGAGCCTGCTTCAGACTCTCTCTCTCTCTCTCTCTCTCTCTCTCTCTCTCGAACTGAAAAAAAAAAAAACCAAAAAAACAAAAAAACCCCAACAATCTATATTCATTTGATCTTAGCCTTGAGAAAAATTTAGAAAAATTTTGTTTACATGCTTCCAGCTTTTGGCTTGAACACGAAACGATGATGAGAAAGACCCCCTACAAAACTGTGAATGAAGTAACTGCCTGCACCTCCATTAACCACAAAACCCCACACTCGGGCACCGATCCGTACAACAGCCACCCCAGATGACACTATCAACGCTCCACCTCCGCAAAGCTCATACTCAGAGTCCTCCCCATCCTTCTGGTAACTACGGACACACACACACACCCCCACACCCCGGAAGAGTCCGCGGCACAGAGGGTGACGCACAAGCACACTGAGCCAGTGCTGAGCGCCCTGGGTCCCGGCCCCGCGGCTGCCCCTCCGCTTCCTGATGGTGGCGGGCTCTGTCACGTCAGCCGTGGCCACCTTGAACCCACTCTCTTTCTACAGCCATCTCGGCTTCAACGGTCATCCCAGATAAAATAACCTGGGTCCTCCTAACCCTCACTCCCTTACGCCTTACTTACCTGGACGCATACGTGTACGCGAAGAAGGATGCCTGCATTCTAGCTAAGATAACAGAGCAAGTAAGTAGGAGCAAGCCGGCAAGTAAGGCTGAACGGATTTATACTAGTTACTTTCGATGGGTGAGGACACCAGTGATAATGACAACACAGAAAGAGGAATTTTCCTGGTACGAACACGCAGGGACGGAGGTACAGTGTGAGAGCAGAAACGCTATCACGTACGTCGTGCTCTCCCAACGTATCTCAATTATGAACACTGCTGCGTGTGAACAGGATTACTTACCAGGTGGGCTGATTCTACCATTACTACTATTCTGTCTTTGGAGATGTTCTTTATAGCACACTGAACACATGCCATTTGTGCGAGGGTTTCCATAAAATCCGCAGCCAGTAGAACAAAGCATAGGCACTTGGCTGTGATTAGTTTCTTGAGCCATGCTTCTCTGTTGCACACCTGAAACGCACACAGAATTCGTAAGGAACACAGACGCACACTGCAGTCGTGTATTATCCAAATCTGCTTTATATGATAAAAACCCACATATACTCCCCCCTAAATCTTTCTGTACACCTGTCCCAAGACCTAGGGCTAAGTTAGAAAAAAAAAATAAAGACGAGAACGATACGAACAACTTTTATCTCCAACCCTCTACACAAGAAGGTCTGTACTGGCTCAGAAAGAGTAAAGAACTCTTGGGCACAGTATCTGTTCTGAAGACTCCACACCATCGGAACGTTAATGAAAACCTTTGAGGACTAGTTCAGTTAGACTCCTAATAAGAAATACACATTATATGTTTTGCCTCATGTTATACTATTAATTTCTAAGCATTTACACCTTTGCTCAAAGTTTACGTTTTAACTCATATAATTTATTCTGTCTGAAAAGCACTTTACAGAATGCCAATGCTGGTGAAGGTAGGAAGAAACGGGCAGAGTGCTGCTGGTGGGCGGAGCCCGCTCAATCTTTCTGGCAAACAACTGAGCGATTCACGTGCAGGAGCTTCAACCGTGCCCTCCGAAACAGTCACTCTCCTACAGGGTCTTTGACAGAATAACTAGGGCACGATCAGAAAAAAGACCAAGGAATAACATATGAGGGATGTGCTTCGCAGCACATTTGTAACGTTGATAAACTTGAAATAAATGCCCAATATCAGAATGAGTTTTTTTCAAAAGTTCTGTGTCATTAAGACATTTTAGAATACTTTTTGATGGAGGAGAATGCCGGGAACAAACGAAAAGGCACAATATGAAATGTATATATGGTTTGTTGCCAAGTAGGACAAATCCATTAATCACCGAGAAGGACAGGAAAGAATGCATCCAAGCACGGCAAGGCTAACAGTGTTTTCGGATTTGTACATTTTTTGAACTTTTAAAATCCTCTTAAATGAAGGTACAACTTACTTAACTGGGGCAAAATACACATACTTTTTTAAGTATTTTAGATGAAAAACTACCAGGACAGAGGGCCTGTCTGGAGCACACGAGAAGGAGTCATCAATCACAGCAGACGCAAGGCCCCAGGCACCCTTCTCCCAGACGGCAGGAATAGGGGATTCCTGGCACGAAGAGCATGACAGAAGGTAGTAACGGGCTATTAAAAAAAAGAAAAAGAAAACTCTCCCAAATGACCGAAGGTTACTCCAAAGTGGATGTGTTTAAAGACGAGTCTGTGCAAAGACCCTGAGGGATAAGAACTACCAGAGGGGGACAAGGCTCTGTCACTAACCTTGACTGATTCCTCCTCCACACATTCAATGTTTACCATTAACAGATTTTTTCTTCCCCAAAACTGTTTGAAAAGACTGTTGGGGCGGGAGGTGGGGAGCGAGGGGTGGGCGCACTTAATGCAAACTTCACGGCCAAGAGCAGTAAGGCATATGACAGGAGTACAGAACAAAGCAGCAGGTTTAGCGTTTGTCTTTAAAAAGAACTGTCGCAAAACCACTGAGGCCATTTAGAAGGTGAGCCTGGGAATACAATTTGGGATTCTGGCAAACACCCTTCTGACTCACTTCAGAATCCAATCTTGGCCATTCTGCTCTCTGTATAGCCTACTCTGGGTACTTCTGTAAGTACACATATCAAATTTAAAAATACATAGCAAAGGCGGGATAGAAAGATATGCCGAAGATGGGCTAGGTCAAACACTGTGTTGAGGTTTTCGGCCTGTGTTCCCGAGGGACAGTGTGTTTGCCGGTTTCGGTATCAGGGTAACCGCTCAGGATCACGTATGTGGCTCGTAAGCGATGGAGCTCAGGCTCAATACACGTGTCCGGCTCGAAGTCCTTGCTCCAAGTTTGTGGTTCTCAAAGCGTGCTTCCACGGAGCCCTAGAGAGGTCAAAACCATTTCCACGCCAACGCTAGGGAGTTACGTCACACCTTTCCTCCGGTCACTGGGGACACACGCTCCCACAACGGCTCTCACAGCCCCACGACCGACGGGCACGTCTAGAGCCTGAACACGTGTCTCATTGGGACTTCGTGGGTCGAGCGGGGAAGCACGTGGAAAGCGACCGCAGAAGCACCAAGGCCGCCCAGTCCCTGCTCCTGGGGGAGGGTTTTACTTCAAGGCCCGGCCGACAAAATCTGGTTATTCCGACCTGAGTTCACGGCAGACATTTTCCCCAAAATGGACAACGTGCGTCTGCGCCTGTCACTTCAAGGGCGAACACCCATCGCCCATTCCAAGGGAGAGACCAAGGAACGTTCAAATAACGGGATAGGAAGAGTTTATATACAGTTGGGAGATTTTACAACGCAATTAACCCTTTAAGAAACTACAACTTATCAGGGCGCCTGGGTGGCTCAGTCGGTTAAGCGTCCGACTTTGGCTCAGGTCATGATCTCGCGGTCCGTGAGTTCAAGCCCTGCGTCGGGCTCTGGGCTGATGGCTCAGAGCCTGGAGCCTGTTTCAGATTCTGTGTCTCCCTCTCTCTCTGACCCTCCCCCGTTCATGCTCTGTCTCTCTCTGTCTCAAAAATAAATAAATGCTAAAAAAAAATTAAAAAAAAAAAAAAGAAACTACAACTTATCAAGTTTGGGTATAATATCAAAAAAGAAAGCAAGCTCTATTATCTGAGACAGTACCTCCTTCCTTCTCCAACGACTTACCTGTAGGATCCCAGTTTTTCTTTCTAACACTGTAACAGAGGCAGCTAGGAGAATCTTGCTGTTTGCTATTAAGCCTGACCTTAGAGAGAATTTGCAAAAATGTCTAGCGAGGCCAGTCTTCTCACTAAACCTTTCTGGTGGTGATGGCGGGGGAGGGAATGGATGGATGTTTTTAACAAAATATTTTTTAAAATTAATTACTTTGCAACTTTTCTCAGCTTTGATTTGTAACATGATAAATACTGCCAGACAGAACACACATAAACAGAAGTTCTTCCGGGTACTCAGTACTTTTAGAGAATATAAAAGCCCTAGAACCAAAAATTTCAAGAATTCACTGCTGTCAACCATGCATTCCTGCTGTAGGCAGTATCACCTCAAGGGGACAAACATTGATTCTTTGGGGGAAAGAAGTAGACAAAAAATCCTTACTCTTTATGTAGGAAACACAGATATACACGTGCACATAAACAGAGATACAGTGTACCTATGGAATTAAAATTTTATGGAGACAGGAGGTCAATTAGGAAAAAACTATTTAAAAAAGGCTTTTGTGGGGTTGCCTGGGCTCAGTCGGTTAAATGTCTGACTCTTGATTTTGGCTCAGGTCATAATCTCACGGTTTTGTGAGATCAAGTTCCGCCATTGGGCTCTGCACTGACAGCACAGAGCCTGTTTAGGATTCTCTCTCTCCTTCCTCCTGCTCCCAATCTGTCTCTCTCAAATGAGTGAATGAATTAATTAATTAAAAAATAAATAAATAAAAAGGCTTTTGTGGGGAAGGAAACAAAAAGACATTGAGCAACGCTGTTCTATATCACAACTACCCTGTGTTGCCTATTGAGGACATTAAAACGCTTATTTATAAGGTGGGGATTAAAAGGACTTTCCCCAAGAGCACACACGAACCTTTCAGCATCTGGGTGGCAACCACGAGCACGCAGAAAAGGGAAAATATTCATTCCATTTCTTTAAAAACTTAAGTGAATAGGGGCGCCTGGGTGGCTCAGTCGGTTAAGCGTCCGACTTCAGCTCAGGTCATGATCACAGTCCGTGAGTTCGAGCCCTGTGTTGGGCTCTGTGCTACAGCTCAGAGCCTGGAGCCTGCTTTGGATTCTGTGTCTCCCTCTCTCTCTCTGCCCCTCCCCTGCTCATGCTCAGTCTCTCTCTATCTCAAAAATTAAAAAACAAAAAAGCATAAAAAAATTAAAAACTTAAGTGAATAGTCACAGATTAGAATATGAGCATCAAGTTTTTATTCACAATTGCCTCTGAACAACAAATACCAAAAACATGGAACACCAGCAATTTCCCCAAAATGCCCACACAGCAGCCAGTTAACAATGATTTTCCCAAGCTGAGCTTTCTTATTTAAAAAACAAAAAAAGAACCTATTATCTTGGCAGATAAAAAGCACAAAAGATTTCCCAAGCTATTTAAAAAGAAGAAAAGGAGGGGGCGTCAGGGTGGCTCAGTGGGTTGAGCCACCGACTCCAGCTCAGGTCACGATCTCATGGCTTGTGGGTTCGAGCCCCTGCGTCAGGCTCTGTGCTGACAGCTCGGAGCCTGGAGCCTGCTTCGGATTCTGCATCTCCCTCTCTCCCTCCCTCCCTCTCTCTCTCTCTGCCCCTCCCCCACTCATGCACTGTCTCTCAAAAATAAATAAATGTAAAAAACCATGAAAATAAAGAAGAAAAAGAAAGACTCAACCTTACTTATTCATCTTTAAGCCACAGAATGTGTGCTCGCTTCAGCAGCACACATAGTAGGCCACAGAATGTACCTTTCCGTGAAGATTCACAAAATGAACCACCACCGTAACAGGTTACCTTAGTTTACCCCGATGTGGCAAAGATGAGAGAGGCTATGGACACTGGAAGTCCTGCCTGTCCGTGGCTGCACCCTCTTGCAGGGGAGGGCCCTGCGGGCCCACTTCTCTGGCGCGTAGGAGGGGGAAGCGGGAGGGAACGAGGAGGCAGAACAACGCCTTAGCTGCCGCACAGTCGGGTTACAAAGCTACAAACCCAAGGAGGTAAAGACTGTCACCAGCCATAAACGAAAAGCTGGTCAGCATGGTATAATTAAACAAACCACTTTCTCCCCCTCCGATGGCAGCGCAGTTATTCAGAGCTCACTGAGGGCCAAGAACTGTTCCCACTGTTCTATTTCTCTCATTTAATCCTCCCCAGAACCCGGTGGTGCTGCCGGTGCCGTTTTAAACTGCTACTCAAAGAGATTTAACAACTGGCCCAAGGCCACGTATCAAGGAAGCTGGGTCAGTGTCTTTATCTCCTGAAAACAAAGAGAATGACTTTCAAAGTCCATCAAGTCCC